GTGTTGTATGTTTTTTTTCCCTTTCTTTTTACATCTTTTGTTTCTCCAAGCATCCTTTCGCATTCCCGTTCCCTTTTTACTCCGTGGCATTTGCTGATTGTTTATTTTGTATCACTGTCGGCTTTCTTACTTTGCAGAGATATTGTTCCATCAAGGCTCATTAATGAACCGCGTTTTATTGTACGCATTACACCGCACCGCACCGCACCGCACCGCACCGCACCGCACCGCACCGCACCGCACCGCACCTACTGCCAAATCCCATAATCCCAACCTGGCGCCGCTGGTCTCTCTATCTTCTCCTTGTGTCCATGGCCTCTTTTTTACATCTTCTTCCATTCCATTCTCTCATCTGCTATCCCGTCCCCTTCTCATTGCCTCGGACCACCGCCACCACCACCACTTTGCGAATCAATCTCATGAACCGAGTTACTCCCCGGCATCTCTCCCCCAAAGAAATCCTTGGACTGATAGACGCTTGTTTTATGGACAAGTTGCTGCCCTTCGTGACTCCCTGTTGCATAGTAGTCGACACCGTTTGCGGGCGTCATAGTCAGCTCCTGCTGCTGCTGGAGCAGTGGCAGAGGTTTCCCCCCCGAGTCTGGTCCGTTCCTGTCGTTGTTATTCGTTTTCGCCCGCCGCCTCCGCCGCGCAATTTCTCTAAAGAGATATCCCAGAGCAGCGGCTACAACGAGGAAGAGAATGATGGAAACACCGATGCCGATGCCGAGGCCTATGCGGTTGGCAATACTAGGACCACCCCCATCACCTCCTCCTCCTCCTCCTCCTGATTCTTTTCCTGATGCTGGTGCGCCCTCGGTTTCCGTACTGTCGCCAGATGGTGGTGATGATGTTGTCGTTGTTTGGTCAGCGTTGGTGGTTGGGGTGGTGGTGGTTGAGTCGGGAGGAGGCGCGGAGGAGGTAATGTTGAAGTAATGGCTCATTGCGTCGGCGACCGTGGCGCCGTTGGAGAAAAGGGCGAATTGAAATACGTTGGAGAAGGAGAGGTTTTTTGGCCGTATTGACGGTCCAGAGGTAGTCTGTTAGTTGGATATGGTTTGCTTGATCCAGGCGGCGGCGGAAAGCGAGAGTGTTAGTTGTTGTCCATCTATTTCTTAGGATTTCATGATCACCACCACCGCGTCCCGTACTCTTTATGATGAACCGTATTTATATCCAAAGAATAGAGATAGAGAGAGGGGTGCAGAACACATACGAGCAACATATTCAAAATCCTCCCCCTCCGCCAGCGGCACCTGGTACAGCACCAATGACGAGCGCACCATCCGGTCTTCGGTCCACTGCAACCACATCGTCGACCCGATCGGATAGACGGCATTTCTCTCGTCATTCCTATTCCCCTCCGGAGGCGGGTTGATGAAGGCTATCATCCCTGGCGTATCGTCGCTACCGCTACCAGCAGCAGCAGTAGCTAATACTTGTACGGGCTGGTGGTTCAAAACAACAGCAAGCAATAGAAGGAGTGTTATCCGTGTTGTTGTTCTCGACAGATTTGGTGGTGGTGGTAGTGACGGTGCCGAAGATCGAGTGTGGAGGAGAGAAAGCATACTTTCGTTTCGAATTGGTTTCGCCCCGTTTCCTTTCGCTTCATACCAAATGAAAAGCACACAAAAGTCAAAACCGTGTTGGTTTGCCAACAAACAGAACTCAAATGCGGGCGGGCGGCACGGGTTTAACCTCTACCTAGAGCTTTGTGAGGATGAAGCTGGATGAAGCCTCGTTTTGTCCCGACGACGACACACAGGAGAACCCGAACCCGAACCCGTCTGGTGGTTGTCTTAAGAGGACGGGTCTATCAGAGATTGAGTAAAGTGAAAAAAAAAAAAAAAAAAAAAAAAAAAAACCGAAACGGAAAGCCGAAAAACAAAAATCGAAGGGACATACATGTCTTTTGTTGCGCATTTGCATAAGGTAGGTACCTAAGCTCGAGGTAAGGTAGCTCGCCCAGGACATAATTCTTGAGATCTCTGGCCGTATCCTTGGCGGGCGATCAGCCAAATGAATAGACCAAATGAGTCTCAACAATTTTGTCAGGGACGAGGGTAGGTACCTAGGTCGGTAGGGTAGTAATAGGTAGGCTGGATATGAGGCTAGTCCTCTAGCAGTGTAGGTAGGTAGCATCAGGTCTCAGCTCAAATCAAACAATATTCCCATGTGCTCAAAGATTGATGCAGCGGCTGGCTCCGCTGCTCGTGGCGTCTGCCCCTGAATGGTTGGTTTTGCTTCTTCCTATATGAGAGCTAGTGTCAACTGCCAACGCCGGGTAAATTAGATGTAGGTATGCACTGTATGTAGTATAGGTACGTCGGCGATGTCAGTCCCCTGACCTGACCGGGGCGGTGAGTTAGTGTTAAAAGCTTTCGTTCTTTCTTTTGTCCTATTCCATATGTTTGACCAATACTCCAATTGTGCTTCACATTTGGAGCGGCGTAGAATTGAACGTTCAAAGGGGTCATATGCATCTCATCGGATCCAAAATTGCTACATCAAACACCTATCTTATTGATCGCACCTTCCCTCTGATTTTGGCCATATATGATATTATGTTCTTTCCTATTCCTGTCCGAATGGTATTACACCATCATCCACTTTTCATTCATTTCGTCATCAACACACGGAACTGAATCATTGTCTACTCCTTCCTTCACTTCATGGTCCTTCCTTCCTTCCCCCGAATTTCTAGGTATAACCCCTGGCCGGTCTCTACTTCACATCCATTCCCCTCTCAAGCTCTCAACCCCTACTCCTCCTCGCCCTATCCCAAGCAAAAGCGCTCCCCGTCGATGAACCAATTTCATAAACTGACGTCCCCCGCCTCTCCCCGGTCCATTCCCCTGTAGTTCTCCCCCAAAGATATCTTTCGTCTGATACATGCTTCCCGCAGTATTCGCTGCGTTTCCGTTCCAAGTGTTGTTGTTCCCATTCCCATTCCCTGCTGCGTAAGCGTTATCGGGCGTCATAACCATCGTGGTAGAACCACCAAAACTCATGGCCATGTGATTGTGCGGTGTCTGCGGCTGCGGAAGTTCCGCCAGTGGTCCATTGTTGAAGTTCCGTCTTGGTCGGACCTTGAGAATCCAGTATGCGAAAGCGCCGGCGATGAGGAGGAAGACGGCGGCGGAAACGCCTATGCCTATGCCGATTGCTGCGGATGTCGACAGTCCCTTTTTGCCGTCTTCTTTACTTTCCAGGCCGATACCTGCTGCGTCCGTGCTGGCTGGCGGTGTTGGTGTGCTCACTGATGCCGTTGCTTGCGCGGTACCAGCACCAGTACCGGCGGTCGTTACAGCAGCTGTGGAATCAAGGACTGAGGCAGAAGTAGTCACTGGCAGACTTCCAGCGGAGAGATTCAGTGAAGATGAGGAAGACGCGGCGGTGATGTTGAAGTAAGAGCTCATTGCGTTTGGAGTCGTGGAGCCGTTGAAGAAGATGGCGAGTTGGAAGACGTTGCTGGAAGAAAGGTTTTTGGCGGTGTTGACGATCCAATCATAGTCGGTTATCTGGACGTGGTTTGCTGTGTAGGGAAAGGTGAGTGTTGGCATTACTGGCAGTTGTCCTCTACATTATCATCGTGTTGTTGTTGTCGTTTTCTACCTGTTCATCGCTGAATGTAGATTCGAAGCGAAAGAAAAGGGAAAAATAAAAATAAAAATCAACACCTACGAGCAACATACTCAAACGCCCCATCCCCAGGTATTTGATAGAGCACCAAGCTCGACCTAACCTCCGTATCCTCAGTCCACTGCAACCTCATGGTCGACCCAATTTTATACACGACATTCTTGCTGTTGTCCTCCTGCCTGAAGGGAGGTGGGTTGATGAAGGCTATTGGCGTTGCGGCTGATACTTGTACCGGTTTTTGTACGAGCAGCAAAACGAGTGTAACAAGGAGAGGAGAGGCGAAGGAAAGCATCGTGAACAAGTTGAAGCCGGTCAATGAACGGGCCTAGACAGGATGCCTATCTCAGGCATTGAAGAAAATGACTGTCTGTGTAACAAGGATTGAAAAGCGAGAGGCGAAACGGGGAGAAAAGGGAAGCGAGAGAAGGGGATGCGGGTTAGCAAGTCTTTATCGTCACATCGACTTACATCCCTTTCAGCGGTCCAGCTCATTTTCCCAGCGGCCGCTGTATGCTCGTGGCGTCGACTTGTAATATAACCGCCATCACATCTGCGCTGGTCTGCTGCCCTGGTTTGGGTTGGTTGCATCGGGGTTAAGCAGGTACCGACTGGCATTGGTTATCAAGTTTGAGCCTCGTTCTTACATACTTCCGTCTCGAGTAGAAGCGTCTTGCGCCCCCAAGGCTTGGCCATAGACGAGCATAGTCGGGGATTTAAAGTTTCAGCTCCCCGTCCTCCAGTCGAGTACATACTCGAGTGCTACTCGAAGGTGATAAGCGCGCTGTTTGTTGTGCCAAGCTTTCGGTCAACCTCCTCCATATGTCCAGTTGTAGGCTTATGATGCGGCGCAGAGCTTTAAAAGTGACAGCTTCGCCGCATGGCTACATTTTGCCAATCTCCTTTGCTCGTCCCCTGCATACTCGGGGGGTTGCGGTGAGCTTGGCCTGGCCGAGCCTTTTTTGCCCCCTCCCCACAGAGCCTTGGCCCAGCCAACTAAACCTATCCCCCCCCGAGTATTATCTTCCTGGTGCACAAATGCGACGCAGCGTCACATCCTCGGACGAACCGGGATTCGTTTAAGAGGATGCCAAGGCTGGCAACACCGCTTAATTACATGAGACACAACATCACCACCCAAGCGAAAATGAAAGGTACTGTGAAACAGCTCGTTCTTCTTTGGTATCATTAGTTATATATGTACATGTGCGGTCGTTTCATCCTCGGACCAGCCAAATCTTTTGCATCCAAATGGCCCGTCCTTTTATCATGATCATCTTCATGACGTGAAATGCCCGTAAATATCCGAACCCATCCAACCGATCATGCAACCATGCAAGATGTGCCAAGTACGACCATCCAAATCATCGCAAAATAAATAATACAAATCCCACCGAAATTACCGATATGTCCATCTCAAATGAACCACCCGCTTATCGCACTCAGAAGAAAAGTCGACGAGGTCAAGGGTGACCACCTCTCAGCCCATGCACAAGTGTGCTATTAGTTCTTCTCGTCGTAGGTGGGAGGAGCCGCCTTCTGGCTGCTGGAGTCTTCGGAAGGAGCAGCCTCAATAGTCTCTCTCTGGGAGAAGACAGTCTCCTCCGAGTCGATGTGCCTGAAGGTGATGTAGAAGATGACGGTGAGGACACCACCAGCAATGGCGGGGCCACCGAAAATCCAGGTGAGGTAGGGATCGGTAACAACCGAAGAGCAGGCAAGACCGATGATATAGGCCACAGCCGTGGAGAACAGGTTGATGGCCGAGACAAGACCTCTCATGTTGGCAGGAGCGCGCGAGTAGGCAATACCCATACGCAGGCACGTTGACGAACAACTCGGAAATACCGCCAACGGCAAAGGGGATGGCCAAGAACCAAATGCTGATGTCAGCGACACCGGTGCCAATTTTGCAGTCGCTGGAACCGTACTCGCCGCAAGGAGACTTCTTGTAGGCGTAATAGTTGAGCAGAGTATAACCCATACCGCCGAGGGAGGACATGGCCAAACCGGTGGTGATACGAGCAATGGGACCGTAGTGGATGTTGAACCGTCTAAGCATGGGGTACAAGCCGTAGTTGAGGACGGGAGCGGCGGCAATGATACTGAGAGAGTTGAAGTTGGAAATGACGTCGTTGGGGACACCATCCGTCTTCAACATGGTCGACAAGAAAGAGGCGGCGGAACCAAGACCGTTGTCGTTGAGGTACTGAATAGGGAAGAAGCAGAAGATGCCAGTACCCTGGAATGTACGGCGGACATCCTCAACGAACTGGTCGCTCCACTCAATCTTGTAAACACCCTCAAGGCCGGCAGCAGCAATGTTGGAAGGCTTGGCCAACTCCCAGAAACCGTGACGACCGAACTTCTTGAGACCACCGCGGCGGAAGCAGATACCGAGAATCTTGAAGATGTTGGGGAGATCGGAACCGCCGGGAGGGTGGAGGATAAGGCGCTTGCGGAGGAACCACAAAAGAAGGGGAAGAGGGAGATAGAGGATGAGAGGGATAAGGAAGGCGAGCCACCAGCCAATGTACTTCTCGGAGTAGGCAGTGGCAACGCCCATGAAACCACCAATGTTAATCATGAGGTAAAACCACAACATGACACGCTCAGTGGTAGCCTCGGGATCCTCGATGACGCGCTCTCCAGTCTTGAGCACCTTGATTATGGGCTTGGTGTTGGCAACCTGATCGAGGAGAAGGGGAGAAACATTGGGCTTGAACATGGCTGTGAGGAGTCAGTTAGCAGGGAGTCATTGGAAGCGATCTATAGAGGTTTCACTTACCAGCACCAATGGCCAGAATGTAGACCGAGAGGAAGTAGGGAGCCTTGGAGGTTCCATTGGCAAGGAGGTTCTTGGCACCGGCAACGACCATGAGAACATGGGCGATACCGAAGACAACGACACCCCAGCAAATAAGCTTGAAGCGGCCAGTCTTGGCGTCGGCCATCCAGCCGAAGAGGAGGGGAAGGGCATAAGCCAACATGGAGAAGGACTGGGTAACGGCGTTGGCGCTACTCTGGCCCATACCGAGGGCACCGGCCGTCATCTGAGTACCACGGGGAGGAGCACCCCAGCCGTTGCCGCCTTCAGGCAGAGGACGGTTGACATAGTTGCTGATGAGGGGCTGGACACCGTAGTAGGAGGCTCTCTCGCAGAACTCGACAATGCAAATCATATAAGCAATGATGGGGAGGCTGCCGGGCACACGGCGGAGCGTGTCGAGCTCCTCCTGGGTGGGCTTGCCCTCATAGTCCTCCTCGATGGGGATGTGCTTGTGCTGGGAGCTGGCCGTGTTGTGCTTCTCCAAGTCGTAGTTGGAGCTGCTATCAGCGGCCACGATCTCTGTCGTAGCTGTAGTGATTGCCATGTGTCAGTCTGATGGTTTCAAGTCTGCTGCGATGGGTAGTGATCTGGGGAAGGTGCAGTTTCCAAGGGAAGGTAACACTCGGAAATCGGCACGACGGAAGCAACCGTGTATATATAGGTAAACATGGAAAGAACATACTCATTGTGGAATTTTTGGTGTTGTTATCTCGTAAGCTGTCTCCAGTCGCTCCAGTAAAATTTTTGCCCTCTGGCCTCTGTTGTGGGCAGGGGAGCGGGAGCTTTGAGACTGGGTATGGGGAGCCTGTCAAGGACCGTTGACTTGGTCAAAGACGGTGACTCGGATGAGATGAACAATGAGTCGAGTCGAGACTCGAGATGGGGGATGAGGGTTCACAAAGAAGCTGGGGAAGCAAACATGGACTCGACGCGGGGGAGACGACGAGTTAAAAACGAGACGAAGTTCATTGAGCAGAGTCACATCGAGCGCACGCGACCACGAGGGCTCGACGAGGGCTAGACAGCACGACTGGGGGGCGACAGGAAGGCGTGAACCAGCAAGAGGATGTTGTCAGCACTGTCAGCAAGGGACACCACCGCAAGAGGGAAGGAGAGCACCGAGACCACTCGGCCGGTCGGTGGGATGTCCTTGATTCCCGGGGCTTGGCAGGTGGTGGAAAGTGGTTCCTTCTCAATCCTCCTTCCTTGTACGGCATGAAGCACCGTAGCAACTTCCCACTGGCGGCGCCGGGTCTGGAGGCCGGGGAAGGCGCGAGCCGTTTGACTGTTTCGCAGAGTCCTTATCGGTTGACGGAGTCGCCCTTTCACCGACAATCACTCGACAGTCTTCGGGCCTGTTCCACCCAACTGAGGCAAGATTGACAAATCACAGACCACACAGCCGGAACCATTTGCCGTCTACGTCCAGGCCAGCCGGCGTTGGTCTGTCCTGGTGGGGGACACAGTCACCTGAAGAGACGGTCGAATTAGCGTTGAGCAAGCAACGGACGGCGATGGGGTTGATGGAGACGACAGAAAGCCAAATGGATCGCTGGAGATGCCGTGGATCCGTGGAACCCGAAGTCTGCTGGGGATGAAGCCAATTGACTAGGTAGCTGACTGGATGGCGGATGGATACTGTATGGATTAACCCCGAGGTTGTTTTCTGCTTTGCGACACGGGCATCGATACGACTTGTTGCCTTCCACTTTTGTCGCCCGCGACGGGAGTCATCTTGATCACCGTTGATGTAATGGAAGACCATCAAGAACGATGTGGTTCCGGATCTCGGACATGGGCTGACAATCAACGTCTCTGATTGCACAGTTTATCCCACTCGTTCGACGTTGGGGATGACAGTGACTGGACTAGTCCTGGTCCAGGTCGACGCCTTGGCGTACATATGCAACTGGAAAGGAAACTCTGCACGCGACAGCTGCATACCTTATTTCTCGCATGATGGGTGATGCCTGTGTAAGAAGCGGCTGCGCTGTATATCCACACTTGTCGGCTAACAGTAGCGGGCTCGCACTGGTGACTGGAGTCTGGACGTACTACCTTACTCGCACCACGCTGGCGTGGCTGGCTTCATCCTGTCTCACAATTTTGCTTGGAAATTGTAGTTTATACTGCTATAGGACATGCCGCAATGAGCTTATTCCTGCGTCGGTATCGTTGAACATGGGGAGCGTGTTGGTTTTTTCGCAGATGACCAACAGCGTCGGGTTTTGTGTGCGATATTTCCTTGTTTCTTTATCGCGGGGACCCCGGCTTGCTTCCAGAAGATTAAAAGGACTGGCCATGAAATGACCCGATCCCGTTCCACCTTCGATTTGTGACGTCTGTTCTATCCTGTTGGTCAGCTTCTTTTCTTTTTTGAATGGCGAAACCAACATTGTTCGAACGCCGGTTACAATGATGAATACTGAAGGGTTGGGTTGGGCAAATGGCGGGAACACACCGGACGTTAACGCAAATGCCGAGTTGCGTCACGAAGTGCTACGTACCTCAGGGGCAAAGGGCGCTACTGCACGATGGCTTTCTGTTAGTGCAGTGCCAGTTTGCTGTGAGCCAATGGGAGAATAACATTGGTCTGGCTTGGCATATCCACTTCTCTCTTGAGGCTGCCTCGGCCGCATCTCTTGGCATTGACAACCCCCCCGTCTTCCACGACCGCTCCTCCCAGTGCTAGGCCTTTTCCACCCGCCCACTTTCCCGTGACTTGCATTCAACAAGTCCGACATGTTGGATTTTCCACACACAAATTGCAAATCTGTTCATCGCATCTTTTCCTCTTGTGTTTCTTTTGGTGGGTGCCTCCAGTGGAGACAGACAATGGTTGTCAGCCCTAACCGATTTTGACCCTTCAATTTAACATTTTCCCTGCCTGTACCGGTTGATTAATGCCGTCGACCCTTTCAAGCCGAACTTTGAGCGAGAGCAACAAGCATTGAAGAGTGCGGGGTGTTATTACAATGCCATTATTGGTGCGCTTTGCCATTCAGTCTGTCCCGTTCGAGTTGCCCTTTCCAACATGCAAAGACATGGCGGAGCAAGGGTCGGCCGGTGCCGTGTGCCGGTCACGGTGTTCGCATGGCGAGCAGCAGCTCTCTCTTGTGCCGGGGAACATGACTGGAAGAAGAAAAAGGCGCGAAAGAGATCCTCACCTTTTACCTCATCAAAACTATTCGGCCCTTCCATTCGCCGAAGGTCATCAACCGACCACAGTGTGGACGGGCAATCCCTTCTCCGCGGTCGACAGGCTCAAAGACTTCACAAAGCTTCACCAGCACAGTCCGAATGGAAAGCGTCCATTGTCCAAAGAGAACGGCTAGAGACGGGATGATGATTCACGATCAACACTATTAGATCTCGTTGCCATCCTACGACATCATGTCATGCCATGCCAACTTAAACTTCTCTGTCCTTTGCCTTCCCGTCTCGATAGACTTCTTCGAGATCTTCAGTTTCCCCGGAACGCCCCATATCCATTCGACGGCAAGCGACCAAAAAGAAAAAGAAAAATCGGATCCGACTCCATCATGATGCCAAGAACCCCACTCATGAAATCACCACGAGTGCACAAGGGCCTGCCCATGGTCCCCTCTTAAACCTTTTATCCGGCGGCGACTCGACTCTCATCTATTCCATATCCCTTGGCCTTTCCCCACGACTTTTGCTTATCAGCGGTCTCGTTCCGTCGACACGATGCCGGCTGTACACGGTCCTACACGGTCCTCATCGGCTGTACGCCACATGGGCGGAATTCAAATGGATCTGATCATCAAGTGCCAAGACATACATGACTCTTGTGCACCACAACACCAAAGCAAGGGGTGGTGATGCTGTGTTGGTGGTGATGCAGCAGCTTCATGTCGACAATGGACAGACAGACAAGTTGTCGAAATAAGCTATCCCGACTAGTTGGTTGGTTGCCGCGCCACGACTTGTCATCCGAAGCTGTCAAATTCAAACCGATCTCTTGGCTTCCATTTTGGGCCGCGCTACGACTCCTTCGCCTCGACGTTCGGCGCATGTGCGTCCAACATCAACGTAGGCGAGAGCGGGAGCCAAGATCAGCTTGGCATGGCGCCGAGCGAGGTTCGTGTGAACCAACGGCTTGGTAACGACGACAAAGTCAGACGGAATGTCAAGATACATCGAGACATGTGAGTCACCATCTGGAGTTCCAAGTCCGGATACCACATGCAAGACATGCATGGTCATCTCCTCCATATCCATGTGGCACTCCGTCCTCGGCCGCGCGTCAAAATGCAGGAACAGATACGAGGAGAATGCATTCATCCTTGACGCTGGATACATACGCGATGGAGATGGACTGTTGGATTATATCCGGTGCACCAAACAACTCAGAACATTACACCCCGACATCGGAGACCACCAAGCATCTCGGCATCCCAAAAGGACCCAAAACCCACAGATCGCCCCTGACCGGCTAAATAGATACTGCTCGATATACTAGAAAGATTATGCTAACTCCGGGCAAAGTATCCCCCCTCTCGTCCTAACAGACTGAACACGTAGCAGTCAACCGCCAACAGTCAAAGCCAAGACACCTACACCTACAAGCTACACCTACACCGGCTTGGAAGCCCACCCCAGCGTCGGCGTCTCGCCTCCATTAAACACCACATACGCCGCCTTGAGCGCCACGTCGCCAAAGATATTGATGCCCACCCCCGCGCTACTCTGCAGGCCACCAAAGCAGGTCGCGCTCCCGTCCGTCACCGGTCCGTAGTTGATGAAGCGTCCGGGAATCGTGATCTTAGCATCGGCCGTCACGCCAAAGGTGAAATCCGGAATGGTGGTTGCGCAGGGGAACACCCACCCGCCGTACGACCGGCTGTTTTGTGCACCGGCGATCTGCTTGTAGTACGCCTGCAGGATGGCGTTGGGCAGGTACACGAGCGTGGTGCCCGTGTCGGCGATGTTGACGATGGGCTGCGAGACGAAGGGGGCGGAGCCGACTTGGTAGCCGGTTGACGTCCAGGTCCAGTAGCCTGGGTTGGTGTTGACGGGCACGTAGGTGAAGTTGCCTGTGTGCTTGGCTGGGTCGATGAAGCCGAAGTCGTATGTACCGGCTGTTGGGAACGATGATTTTGTTAGTGACGGGACGAAATAGGGTTCAGATCTACGACATGGTTGTTCGGTTAAGGTCACCGAGCTCCGGCAGATTGTTGCGATTCCGGTTTCGGAACCCCGGAGTGTTGGAGGACCCCGGTACTTCCCCGGGTGGTGACGACACATTTCCATACCCTCCGACTTTAAGAGGGATATATAAAGAAAGTGGACATCTTCAGGACCGAGGAGCCAAAGCAGATCGCCAAGTGTGATCCAATCCTGCCCTACCAATCCGAGCCGAACCGATCTGACAGCCAGCCCGGCTGACTTCACAGCCACCAATCCTCACCAGCCCCGTCCAGCCCCACCAGTCACCACCACGAGTCAATCGAAACCGAAAAAGAGAAAACAACTCACCAGCATTGAACTTCAAATCCACCGCAAACAGCGGCGCATCCAACTTGCTCTTCACATTATCAAACCACGTCTTCTGCGCCGTCGGGCTGACAGTATTCAAGCTCGAGAACCCCAACCCAACCAACCCATCGATCGCCGTCTCCGCCGTAAAGCTCTGGCTGACCTGCTGCGCCGTCTCCACCGCCTGGTCCTGCACCACCAAGCCCCCGATAGTCACACGATCCAGATAGACGTTGCCCCTCGACGCCGACCCGTCGCCGTACGTGATACTCCAGCTGGCGCCGCTGAGCAGCTTGGCCGTGGTGGAAGTGTTGGGTGAATAAACTTCCTGTCCGGATATTTGCGCTAGGGGGAGGGAGCTGGAGAAGACCCAGAGGTCCGAAGAGCCCGTGTCGAAGTCGAGATTCAACGTCTGCGCGGGCGTGCCGATGGAGACGGGCGTCACGTAGGCTACGTCGTACTTGTCGATGGGGACGGCGGCTGCTGAGCCTCTATCTCTGCGTCTGCGTTGGTCTGGCGCCGGGGCCTTGGAGTGGGTGAAGACGCGGTTGAGGACGTCATCGGTGGAAACGCCAAAGTGGACGGCGACGGCTTGGACGAGGTAGTCGGGCACCTTGGCGCCGTATTTCAGGTAGGTCTTGTAGACGGAGACGGCACCGTTGAACTTGTAGTTGGGATTGTGCTTTTGAGAGACCGTATATTTACGGCTGCTGAGTGGCAGTGGCGGCACTTCCGACGGCTCCCGAGCCTCGATGACGGTGTTGCCGATCCGTGGTGGCAGGGCGGAACCGAGGCCGGCAGAGGCGAGGACGGTAGTGAGGAGGAGGTTGGTGAGGGCTACCATGGTGACTGACTACCCAAAGATGCGTTGTGACACGACGGCGTTGAGGGGTGATGGTTCCAGAAGTTGACGGGCCTCGAGACTTATATAACGACTAACCAGCGCGAAGCAAGCGAGTGAAACGACGGAATTTCAACAACAGGGAAGAAGACCGAAGACCGGACGACCAAAAAAAGGAGGAGGGGGCAACTTCTGGAAGATGACTATGCCTGCGATGGGAAACTGTCCGGGGTCGAAGAACCTTATCTATGTGACCTCAACGGGAGCCTGACATCCAGTCAAAGAAGCTCCAAGGTCCCTCTCGCATGTACGCAGTCTGTGCCTTTCCGAGTCCGCACTTTATTCTTCCACTGCACTCTATTTCCGGGACAAAGAAAAAAGAAGCTGTGAATTAACCGCTTGGTCAATCCAATCAACAACCCCTGGGGAGTACAATACAGCCCTTTACCACCGTACACCGTGTTGTACAACAACGCAAAGTTCGAAGTTCACACTGCTTCGGGTGACACAGGACTCAGGGAAACGAATGGAGCGAGCCAAGGGTCTTGAAGCTTCTTTTTCTGAAACCCCTGCAATACGAGACGCGTGTAGATGAAGAAGGGCGTTTTCCAGGACGGGATATGTATGCCTACACTAGCGTAGGCATGCCGTGAGAAGGTTCAGACATGAAGCCTATTCCGAACGAGCGAGTGGATGCCCTTCACTTTATGAAGAGCCGCCTTGGCAGCGTCCCTTTACGTCGCAGCCTCTCCGCGATAGCATCTCTTGGCTCGTTGGGGAGAGATTAAAAGAGTGAGGTTACACATCTTCTTGTGTTGGTTGGATCGACGCGGCACGGATGAAGGATATGGAAACTACTTTACCTGAAGATAGTGGCGGCTGTCGTGGTGGTGCTTGGCTGGACGTTCGAACGTCGCCCGCGCCGTTTTCTGCCACGGTCTTTCTTCTCTGGCCATCGCCCACCTATAGTCCTACACACCACACCTTTTTTCCCCTCTGCCAGCCACTCAACCTCAACACCGTCCGCCTCACCCATCTTTTGCGTTGCGTTGATTCGAGACGGAGTGGCTTGCATTGGATGTAGTGTAGTGTAGTGTAGTGTAGTGTAGTGTAGTGTAGTGTAGTGTAGTGTAGTGTAGTGTAGTGTAGTGTAGTGTAGTGTAGTGTAGTGTAGTGTAGTGTAGTGTAGTGTAGTGTAGTGTAGTGTAGTGTAGTGTAGTGTAGTGTAGTGTAGTGTAGTGTAGTGTAGTGTAGTGTAGTGTAGTGTAGGGTATATCTGTTATGCCGGTAAAGCAAAATGGTAGACAGGCACTGAAATCTCCATGGCCTATCGTTGCCGTCCCGATTTGGTTGGTCGGTTGGTTGGTTTGATTTGGTTGATTCGTTGGTACGTAGGTTGGCCGGTTTGAGGCGAAAACCCGACGTTACGTGAACGACAGGTCGACAGGTCGACAGAACGGCAACTCGCAGAGAGCCATCAACAACTCCCTCACCTGAGGACGGTTAGATACACGACGACACGACATAAAGTTACCTACGTAGAGTAAAGTAGCGGTTACGCACCCGGAGAACGTCTCGATGAATACGTGATTTTGCACGTATGTGCCAGGATGTCAGGATGTCAGAATGTCTGCAGTCGCAAGCAAGCTTGCCGTTCAGCGGACAGCGGCTGAACACGCTGTTTGTTTGTACGACTTTCTTTCTGTGCTTCCGCTTCCGCCGATGAGAAGAGAGAAAGAAAAAAGGGAATAGTGTAGGACGACAGGGCACGATGCTCAAGGCAGGGAGGCGGGCCGCAGGCATCAACGTGGGTGACAAGGGGTGTTACTCGATCCATTCGGTGTTCCTTCTGGTGTTTCATTCCAAGGTTTCGTTTCGGAGTTGAGTTCAGTTTCTAATCGAAACAATCTGCAAGGTCGAGGTAAGTCAAACATTCCAAGTTCAGACTTCAGAGGCGAGGGACGCTGAGTGTGTTTGATTGAGAGTGAGAAGAGCCAGGCGGACAGGCACTGAATTGGACTGAACTGAACTGGTCTCACTCGACATTTCCAGCTGCACGTACGGCTGACGACGGGAGGATTGAATTGAACTCGAAGAAGGAAATGGAAAAGGTTTGGGTCGGTTCGGTTCGGTTCGGTTCGGTCGGTGCCCTCCGACGAGATTGATGTATTGCTGTTTTTTGTTCACAGAATGGCTGTGTTTTTCTCGAAGGAGGTTTCGGCAAGCGGCTTGAACTAGAATTGGAAGGTGCCGTCAACCGTGAATGTCGGCATGGCTCACGCACTGAGTGCCCGGTCTCGCTTCTGTCTCTTGAAGTTGATATGAGAGAAGGAGCAAGGCGACTGACGCCATCGAAGCCTCGAGATTCATTAACTCCCTCACTCCTTCCCAATCTATCCAAACAACCCCAATCTCGTCGCTTCCAGATCCAGATCCAACCACCCACCTGTCCTCCCGTAAATCGCCATATCCGAATCCACTTCCATCATTTTCGCAAATCGGGTAAATGGCGTTCATACCACCTCGTACTGTATAGTACCACGACAGCGAATGCATGGACACTACAGTACCTTTATATTACCACGTGGGGCCTCTTTGCTCCGGCAGATCTGCACCACACCACGTCTTGTGGTTGCCGGTCGGTACCAGTGTTTGGATCGATGACGGATGTTGCGAGTGCAGTGTGCGATGTGCGAAAGTGTGGTCCCCGATGACGGAATGAAGCTTGGGGGCTTGGTGGCTTGACCGTTGGATCTTGACCGTTGAGATTTTGAAGCGAGATGCGATGCGCCGCGATTGGTTGAAGATCTCGTAGTTTGGTCGGCCTTTTCCGAGTTCCATTATCTCACGAGAGTTGACCGTCGCTTCGTCTTCCTATCTACCTTAACCTAAACCATTTATTCCCCCGAGGCGCTCGTTATTCCCAAGCGCGGCCACTACACTACCATCCATCGTCACCTACTTTATGAAGCAGGTCCCACTACATAGTACAGTACAAGACACCATTCGGAGACATTCGCAGCAATCAACATCATTCCAGTTGCATTGAACCAAAGGAAGAGATTATACTATACCCCCATTCTTATACCTTTCTTCCTCACGCCTTTCCCTCCCCGCCATTGTGGGTTGTGTGTATTGCGACGTAAACAGAGGGGTACATCAAATCTTATCACGCAATCTATTCGCGACGTTCGAGTCCGAGGACGGAAGAGACACGATTGCCCAACGGCGGGAAAGCAGGCAAGCGAACGACCCCGGTCAGGATCTCGGTAGCCCGCCCGATACGCTTACAATAAGCCATTCCACTTCATACTTATTGTTTGCGCCATCCATGGTTCGCGGCAATGCTACCGGACGGGATGCAGATCCGTTGGCTAACTGGTGGCTTTTGAGGTTTGCCGATTGACGACGGAATGGGTGGATGTCGTGAGGTGCAGTACCCCGCTGGTCGTTCGAGGAACCGTGCAGAAGAACCGTCGAGGAACCGGTTTAGTAGAAATTCTTGTTCGGGTTGGGGAATGCGCGAGGGAGAGAAACGAAAGTGTCAAACCGAATAGTTTGAATTGCAAATATATAGTTACATGGTGAAAGTTTGTTTGTTATCTTGGTGGAAAGGTATGCTCGTTGTTGGATGTTGATGAAGTGATGTGCAAAACATGTCGCCAATAGGGAACCATCGAGTAATCACCACAGCAAGAACACCGATGTAAGCAAATAACGATCAGCCTCGGAAAGACCGCGAGAACATTCCACACGAACATAAGGTATGTAACAAAGAAGCAGAAGAAAAAGAAAGCGATGAGAATAACCAACTGAGAGAAAAAAATAAAATAAAAAGATATGATTTGGTTCTCGCAACCTCCCTCGGTAAGGATCGAACTTACAGCCTCCAGATTAACAGTCTGACGCGCTAGCCAATTGCGCCACGAGGGATTGAATTGCAACCAATCCTGATTAATGGTTAGTGCTCAGAATCTTGGCCTTATGAACCACCAAAACAGCATCTTGCACCCAGCACCCAAAGTGCAATATACATTTAATTCAGCCATCTCGCACAGCCATCTCGCATACCTACTCTTCAATCTTCACCGGTATTCACAACATGTTCACACTCCACGATGACGAACTGTTTGCAGAAACTGCTGGTAATAATCCGCTTCTTTCATTCCATCATCAAATCTCATCTCTTGTTCTTTTCGCCCATTCATCCATTCATTCCCACCCCCCCCTAAAGCAACTAAAACGATAATCCGCTTGATGCTCCTCTCTCCATATTGGCGTGTGAAATGTGGTATAGCAATGATGATGTTCTCAGTAAGGTAGCTAACAAAGGAAAAGTCGGCGGGCTCCGAACGCGCAATGAGCGCGAGCACGCGTGTGCGTGTGGTACTAACAAAGGCAGAAGAGGAAGAGAAGAAAGAAAAGAAGGTGATGAAAAAAGCGAAGCAGCTAATACACAACCAACCAACCCCCCTACTCCCATCCAGCTCCCCGAATTCCCTGCAAAGATTCATTATACACAATGTGCCAAAAGAAGGCCCCAGTCATATATCCCCATCCTCTCGAAGCGTGACGCGGACAGGCAACTACCTCGCATACACCTTGACCATGCCGTCTCCACCACTGCTAACTACCCATCTTCCGTCCTGGCTCCATACCACGGCGCAAACACCCTCACCGCGCATCGACCTGTGGCAAGTCATCTCTTGCGTGCATGACCTTGTTTCGAGGGACCAGAACCGCAGTGACATGTCGTGACCGGCGCTGACGAGCTCGCGGCCATCGGGGCTGAGGGAAAGGCTGGAGACAGACCCTGGATGGGCTAGCATGTTGTATGTGCATTGACCTGAGAAAGAGTTAGGTTTTGGACACATATTGTTTCCATAAGACAACAGACTTACCGCTATTGGCATCAAAGAACCTAATGTAGCGATCTTCATGGCCAGAAATGATGGTACCCTCCACGCCAGATCCCGCCATCGACCGACCACCTCCCGTAGGTCCGCCACCACTTTCATCTTCACCACCGGGGCCTTGTGTTTGATCCAATCCAACGGTTGTCGCTACAACAGCATTCACGGCGGTGTTGTTGGTGCCGTCGTATGTATCCAAGCTTGCCATCGTTCCAATCTCCTCTCCGCTACGGGTATCGTAGACAATAATGGCGGCATCCGCATAGCTGACGGCAAAGGTCTCGCCATTGGGGCTGAGGGCAGTGATGCAGGTCGGGCTTGCCTCCGAGTTGGCCCGCTTAATGGTATGCACAAGCGTATGGTGGAAGGGCGAGTTGGATGCCGTGGTCGGCTGTGGTGAGCTGGGGAATGCGGAGCCAGAGCTCATAGAGTTGCCCCTGACACGTCCACCTGGCCCACGACGACCCGGTCCTGGTTGAGGAGATGTGAGTTGAGGAGGTGCACTGACAGCCCACACCTTGACAGTACCATCCGCCGCTCCAGATACCAACAGAATCCTATCGGGTGGACCATGGCTGTTGGTCTGACCGAAAATGGCACCCAGGTTTGTGGGCAAGACGCAAAGCGCCCAGACAGCGTCAGTATGGCCATCTAGGGTGGCCTTGGGATCAACCCTTCCTCTTTCCCATACGCGAATCGTGGCATCTTGACCACCAGAGAAGATCCAACCATCACCCTGAGCACGACCGCCGGTAGAGAAGTTGGGGGATGGCGACCAGGACGCAAGAGACAACACAGCCCCACTATGGCCGCGATGTGTAAAGTCCGCCGCAACATCAAGATCTCCATCAGCATTTCGTTGACCAATGTGCCTGTCAGGAATGTGGAACCTCTTGACCAAGCCGTCGTCTCCCGCTGTGCAGATCTCAGGCTCGCCAGGGCTGCCGCCGCCAGAAAAGATGACTGTCCGTACCACATCCAGATGGCCACGCAAGCCGAAGCGGAATTTGAACATTGTACCCTCTGCCTTCTGTTGAAGAGACCCAAGCGAGAGCTCGTGCTCTGCGCTCCTCCTGCGCGCCATACCGCTCGAGCTCTTTCTTCGGTGGGAGAGCGCTCCACGGTTAGGAGACTTGGTCAGGTTCTCGGCGCTAGGGAAGGCATCGGTGTCAGGCCTGCTAGAAAATGACTGTTGCGGGGTTGGCTGTGGCATCGCGTTAGGATCCTGGAAGTTGGATTCGTTAAAGTCCCATGCATCCGTGGTCGAGGCGGACTTTGGCACAGCCGGTTCACGTCCATCTCCCCTAACCATCGGAGGCGCCTTGCTGAGTGCGGAAGTTGGCTCTTCGACTGGCTGAGATTGCATAGAAGCTGACCAGTCGGGGGTTTCACCACTCTTCAGAATATCGTGTAGCTGTTGTCCTCTAGACGAACGCTCCATGGGTGCTCCTTGCGCTAGCTCGCCATATCCCTTCGGTGGCTGGTTGGTCTGCGGTCGTGGGCCGACTGCATGCTGTTGCTGTTGCGGTTGCTGCTGCTGACTCTGCACAGCGGCAACATTAGTGGCATTAGCAGCAGCAGCTTGCTGGGCAAGCAGGTCCCGAATTTGACTTTGTTGAGATCGCTGGTAAGACTGCTCCAGCTGCTGGTTCAAGGCTTCGCCCTCACGGAAGTCGTCTAGGATAGGCAGGGGCGGGGATTCTCGTGGTGGCTGTGGGTTTGCTGGTGTAACCATCAAATAAGTAAACTCAGCTTGGCACTGATCGAGGAAAGTCTTGAGTTCGTTGCGCGCAGATTCGTCGTCTGGAGGACCGATCTCGACGTTCTCAGCTTCGTTAGGGGCTCCAGAGAGTTTTGTGTTTGCTGTGAGGGTATGTCAGAACCTGCTAACAGACAGGATAACAAAGTTGTGCTTACGGCGCAGCTTTTCCTGTATGAGGGCGGACCGGTCAAGCTTGGTCTTGTTATCCTCCGCCTCGGCCTCATCCTCAACTCCCTTCTCTTTACCACCAGACTTTAGAGCAGCGCTCTGCTCCTTTACCTTTTTTTCGAGTATCGAGACATATCTCTTGAGTGCCTTTTGTGTCGCGTCTGCTCTCCTGGCCTGACCCTCGAGGTTCGCTATCCTCGCCCGCATCTCCTGCTTTTCGATCTCCCAGGCATTGCGGTCGCGCTCATGACGGTGCCACTCTGTCTGGAGGAAGCGCATGACACCTGTATGACGGAGCGTTAGCTTTGATGACCGAGCAGTTTTGGTTTTTAGTTCCTGAATCGACTGACTAACCTTGGAGTGTATACTCGGTCGCGGGCGGCTGACCAGAGCCATTGCCCATTACCCCGCCCATCTCATGACCCGCGCCAAATGAGACATGAACGCCGTTGGTGCCCATAGTTGTGCGGTTGTCGTTGGTCGAAGCGACAGACGAAACCTGTGAAGCTATCGCGACAAGCAAGAAGCGAGGCTGACGTTGGCCGGTCGGCGGCTAAGCAAATCGAGGGGCGGAAGCGATTGACGTGGGAGATTCCAGCCGGGACGATCGTCAGAGCGCACAGCGTCAACAAGTGCTGAGCTGGTGAGGGACCGCGTGGACCCTCGTCTCCCCGAATCGGTGTTTGCGGTGTGGTGGTAGGTAGTCGGGCTGCGTAGTTCGAGGCTAGAAAAGCAAAGCAAGAAGTGGCAGCAGTTGGGGCAATCGAGAGGTCGTAGTCGCCGTAGTGTAATCGAATGCGATCCGTCGTTCGTCTAGCTACGTATCTGCGTGTGCCCTGGCCGTGGTGCCCTGGTATTAGAAGAGAGTGAAAGCCACAAAGGGGGGTTCCGCCGTCGATTGATCCGCGGCGGCTTTGAAAAAGCGGGAAGTATGACCCTGATCTGCAAAAAAGGCCCTGGTTGCGTTTGGGTATGCTAAGACATCGGATAAAAAGCGAAGACGTGAAAAGAAAAAAGAGATGATGGCAAGTCCCTGGATTCGCGGTTGTGGTGGTTCAACCAAGGTTATGATGCGCGTAAGAAGCACTGGCACTCCAACGAGCAAAGTGGGCTGCCAGCCCAAAGACTCGAGGCAGATAAACGCACAGTGTCGTTGGAGAAGGAGCTCACCACTTGGCGACTGCCCGCTGCACTGCGCTGCGACTGCTGTAGCGACAGGATGCAGCGACTGGCAAGCGCGCTTGGGCCCTGCAGCGTCCAATTGGAAGCTGAAGCGACTAAACAGACCATGGCAGCGTCTTATTCGTTCGCAATAGCTGTTGACTTGGTGGTTATCTGGCCTGTGCGTATCACTCCTTTTCTGTGAGGAGGGTCTGGTGAAACAGAAGAGAAAGTGCAGCCTTGAGGTCTCAGCCACATCTACCTAGTAACCTCTCAAGTTGCAGGTATCGCCTGCTGCGATCTAACACCGGATTACAAACGACCGCAGGCCGCAACTGCCATCAAATTCGCCTTTTCCAGCGTCAGGGGCTAGCGCTTCCCAACTCAACAAAGAAAGCACCGACCAGCACATGCACCGTGCACAGACCCGAGGACTTGGTGACGTCCAGGGGAAGCTCAGGGGAGCTCAGCGGCAGAGCGGCTTCAAAGCTTGGGGCCTTGTTTGGTCAAGATGAAATCCAGGGTTGACGACATTGATCAAGTTAATATGTATCTTCATGAAGACAGTATCTATGGGTATAATCAAACTCGCTCCAACATCATATGCTTCCAAGGCTCCATACCCCCCAGCCTAAAACTCCAACTCCTCAACCTCCATCCCACAACTCGTACAAGTTTTGACCGTCATGCCCTCCTCATTCTCAACCGCCCTTCCCCATTCATGCGCATGTTTCCCTCCATTATTTATCGCATCCCCAAACTTGGTCGCCTTATTTCCTTTTCTGCCCGTTGAACCACCAACACCACCAATACCACTACCATCTGCGCCCAACTTTCCCGTATTCCTCCTAAACGCCTCCGTCCTCGTCTTCCTCTTCAGGTCTAGCAGTTTCTCCTTGAACTTGGCCTCCTTCCTCCTCTTTTTGTCCTGCTCACGCTTCTCAAACTCGGCGTCCAAAGCCTCTGCCGACCCCCATTTGACGTTGAACGCATATTCTTCGACTTGGTATCTCAGAAAAAGCATCATGTCGTGCCAGTGGGATTTGTGCGGGTTCGGTTTCGAGAGGTGGGGGAGGAGTTCGGGGTCTTTGAGTTCAGCTGTTTTTCGGTCATCGTTAGCATCCAATCCAGTTCAGTCTCCCCATCATGACAAGTAAAAGGAAAGAAACTCACGATCAGTCAACAAATAATCCTCCTTCGCCTCCGTCTTGGTCAAAAGACTGTACCGCTCCGGATACCGCTCCTTACACTTGCCACACACTGCGCACCCAAACGTCTCCTCCCAGACAAAATCGATTTCCAAACTTCCGCACTCCCTACATTTCTTCCTCTCCTTAGCCGTATCCTCTTTATCACTCAGAACAGAAATACCAGGCTCATACGGCCCTGCTTTATTCCTCTGCAGTTCTCGAATCAGCTGCATCCTTTCCCACTCCGCGACCGTCATATGCGCTGGCTTTTGTTCCTGTTCTGGTTGTCCCGGCTTCGTAGGGGCCGACATCTGTTTACTGAAGGGATCATCTTCCACCGACAGGAAACCGCCTTTGGTATCCGTCATGGCGCTGAAGTTATAGTCGACGTATTTGGTGAACTTGCGCGAGATGGGGGGTAGGCTACCCCCTTCTTTGTTTCCGCCATTTGTACCTGTCCCTGTTGTCCCTGTTGTCGTCGATATACTGCGAGCATCCCGGTTACTAACCGGTACGTCATTTCGCGAGATCGATGTAAAGGGCCGCTTGCGGGAGGCAGGTGCTGCGGCGCGACCGGCTGCACCGGCTAGGTGGATGTCATCGGTGGCGGCAATGCCGGAGGCGGTGCGAGGGAGAGAATCGGAGGGGAGCGGGATGCCGGCGGCGCGGTGGTCGGCTTCGAGTTGGGTGCGGAGGTCTTTGACCAGGAGACGGGATTCTTCCTAGTGTGATGGGGACAATTGGTTAGGTCCTTGGTGCGATGCATATCAGTGTGGGTTGCAAACTGGGGAGTGGCTTACTATGCGACGAGTGTCGGCGGCGGGAGTTGGTGGTGATGGTGGGCGTGTTGTGCTCCTTGTTGATCGTGTTGATCGTGTCGCGCGAGCTGGAGGAGTGGATGCTCGTTCCATTGTTACTTTGTAGCTGTGACGCAGTGTTGAATTAGATTGATTACGAGAGGGACGCTGGTATCGGCGAAAAACAAGTTAAGGGTATCTCTTAACGTAAAAGGAAAGGAAGACACTAATATTGTTGTTGAAAGGATGAATTCATTTACGGAAAGTGCTATGTCGCGAAAGCAAATGCTGTGCATCGACCCCTCGATGACGCTGTTTGGTCCGACTCGGCAGGCATCAGCCAAACGATGCGCTGCTCGCCGCCTCTGTTTCAGGCGCCAAAGTTGCGCCGCAAAGAGAATTGCCACATCCTCGGTAATGGCGACAACCTCGACAAAGATGACATTCCATAAAACAAAACCAACGTTTGTAGTTAGCAAAATGGTATGCCAATTTAGATAGTAGTGTATTGTTTACTACCTCATGTCCTGGCAATGCAGGCTGCTAAGCGGAGTGGGCTGACGAACCCGCGTCGCTTATCAGCCATTGCTTGCTCCCATTAACCACCACGCACCCATCCGTCTAACCAAAGGATGTTGTTGTCTATACGTAAATTGCCAATGCTTCAAAAAGCCATATTGGTACAAAGTATTAACCCGCCCAGACAGAAAGTAGCCGGTACGGTCATTGTGTAACCTGTTGTTTCCCTTCTCTCTTTTTTCCTGCGTCGTGCAGCAAGCAGCATCCAAGTCGATCATTTTGTGAATCGCGCTTTACTCCTCCTTGGCACCGCCGCGACCAGCACGCTCGGCAGCCTCAACAGCCTTCTTGTCGCTCTGAGCAGCTCCACCCTGGAGACTGGCCATAAGACCAGCGGCCTGCTTGAAGGGACGCTTGAGGTCGCCACTGGCGGGCTGACCGAAGATGTGGATCTTGGCAAGGTTGGACTCGAAGGCGCCCTTGAGGGGGATGATGGACTGGATGAGGAGGGGGTTGGTGTACTTGAAGTAGAGATGCATGACGCCCATCATGAAGACACCCATCATCTGGGAGCGGAGAAGCTGCTTGGCCTGGGCCAGATCGTAGGCGTGGATGGTGGTGGTGACGAGCTTGCCCTCCTCAGTGGAACCCATCGGCGCCGGCTCGACGTACTTCAGAGTGGTGAGATCTGGAGAGACAAGAGTTAGCAGACTGTGGATTTCGGATCTCGAAGAAGAAGCGCGACATACCCTTCTTCTTGTTGATGGTGTTCATGATGTAGAGGTGAATGCTGAGGATGATGACATTGCTGAGCGCGTAAAGAGCGCGGCAGAGGTTGAGAACGTTGGGATCCTCGAAGGGGATCTTCTTGGCGACCTGCATCATACCAAGGATGATGACCAGGTTGGTGCTGCACGCATCATGTTAGCATCTGGAATGCGTCTCCGGATCGCTGTCTCGAGGACACGGCGGCACATTGTTCGCGCGTTCGGCAGGCGGTGATGCTTCTTACATTTGCGGGGAGAGACCCATTGTGAATGTGCTTTACCGCGTGGCGGAGAGATTAAAAGGAGTATAGAGAATAAACAACGTTGACGACGATGGAAGCCGACAACAAAAGAATCAACGGCAAGATATGCGCAAACTGGCGGTGGGCGGGACTGTGGTGGGTTGCGTTGGGCAAAGAGACGGAGCACAGAGGTGTTGATGGATCGCGACAGATTTTATTTAACTAGTAGCTGCGGCCTGCGGGATGGACACTCTGGACTTTGGCTGGGCCGGCCGCCGGCAAAAAAAAGGCCAAGGCTGGATGCGATTGCCCAGACAAACCAGAAGCACCAGAACAGTGGCACCTACGTTACAACGCAGGCGGTCCGAACTTGGCCCAAATTCGCCATCCAGCACATGTTGTTGGTGACAACTTCAACAGATTCAGGGTCGTCCCCCAATTGGTTGTTACAGGTCGTCGACGGACCCCAATGCTCCGATTCGGGCGCCCTAGCGGCGCTGTCTTCTCAACACACTCGGGGTCCGCGGCGCTGGGCACGCATTCTCGTGCCTTCCGGCGGCGGGCGTGGTCGTTAGCTTTCACAATTCCATCCCATCCTTTGCAGCAAAAGGACACGTTCCCGATCCTTATTTCCAGTATAACAGAAGCTTACCGCACCTTTTAGAAGCTACGATGCGCTTACACAACGCGGAACGACCTCCTACAGCAGCACTTAGATGGGTTTGTAGTAATCCGATATTGGCTACGATAGTCAATCCATCGACGAACAACACGAAGATGCTCTGGACCACTTTGGAGCTGTTCGTACCTGGTGTTGGAGTTCGTCTTGATGGCCAGGATTGGGGACTCGATTCAAGGGACCAGTGAGGGGGTGGTTCGTGCAGCCGCTGACGAGATTTGCCAAGCCGGCTATTTGTGGACTTGACGATAAGATAAGCCGCACGTGAAACCAAGAGGCGTCGTCTTTTAGCACTTCTACCCTAACCCTCGTCTAACACATTTATGTAAGAAAGCTCACCCACTCAGTTTGAATCTGTGATTCCCAATACACACTTGTTGCACCAAAATGCTTGGGCTTACTTGGTATCTGTCTAGTTTGGAAAACATGTTGGAGAGATTTCATGACGATGCAGTCAATGGAGTTATCGAGGTGAAGACGCAGAATTGGGTCTTCAGACTTCGTTCTCCAGTCTCCACAATGAACGCCAAACTTCGACGACGTAACGATCCAGCGCTTGTCCTGCCTGGCCTTTAATCAAGACAAGCCCATGAAGTTTCTCGAGTCCACGAAACATGGACGGTGATCATGGCCATCTACGGAACAAAAAGGTGACGTACATGGAGCTGTTGTTGTGTGACATTTATGTTGCATTTGTTTCTCTCTCTCTCTAGATCATGCCCGAGTCCAGAGCGCTTGATTTGTTAGCGTCGATCTGTGGCAGTTTCAGAGTCGCATCTCCAAACGAAACCTCGCTAAAGAAACAGTTTTGAAGTTCTGGAAGTTCGTGATGATGATGGTTGCGTGTTCTACGTATCCACCAATATTTCAATGGCAGATATGACAAACCGGGGTTGCCTGCCCTTGCGATCCGCGGATATTTGATAAAACGCCTTAGCGTCGTTGTCAGGTATGCTCAGCCACTGCATTGCAAGATCTACGAGCCACTCATGCCACTTCTCAACTGCCGTGATGGGTTGATGGTGGTTTTGGGAACGCCTCACTGAGTCTTGACAGGCGTTGATCCATGTCTATACAGTACACCAAATGCCGAGTGAGTGGTCAGGGTTCCTCTATAAATAAAGGATGGCTCAGATAGGTCGATGAATGGCATTGTTTTCTGATTTGTGAAGGCGGAAGAATCCAACGCCTGACGGACAATGAGGCGCCGACATCGTCCGACTGTTCGTTCCGACTGAGCGGAACCGCGGATTAGAACCCACCGACGACGGCCCCCCCCCCGGAGACCCGGGTGCGGGGACGGGTCGTTAGAAAGACATCTGAAACGGATATCTAGACTCCACCTCCCCGTGGTTGTACCTACCTTAGCTTCCTACCCGTGCTTCTTATGTTGGCCGCCGGCAGGGCTGTCGAACTAGTTTGTGTTGTTTCCATCTTGAGAAGACATGATACGTAAGTGCTCGCTGTTGGGTGATAAGGCGCTGATGAGCTTCCAATGTTGCTTTGTAATGTCCGTCTGGTCCTCTTCGAATATCTTCTTCGTATCGGCTCGGGAAGACCTGGCTGTCACAGAGGCGCAGTTCAGATTGTCGGATCGGTTAAGACCCACCGAGTTCAGCTGGGTCGAGATGGCTTTGCACGTCGAGTTAAGGCACATTTATAGAGACGGGAGTTCAAGGATCGATGGCAATCAGATTGCTTTCGTGTACGAGTGCTTGGGTCAATGTGGACGAGCTTTGATGCTTTTTAAGGCTGAGATTTGGGGGATGTTGTGGAGGCTAAGAGAGACCCATAGAATCCAAGCTGCCCTGGGAGGCCTCACTTCCGTCATTGTGAACGAAGAGTGTCAAAGTTTCTTTGGTGCTCCTCAACCGCCGGGACATGGGTGATTCTTTTGATGGCAGCCTTGAGTGGCCGAGACTTGACAGGTAAGACTTGTCTGTATGGGCTAGTAGCTTCGGACTTAAAGAATGCCATCGTTAACTCGTACTATATGGTACTCGGGGAAAATGCTTTACTACCGCCAACATCTATAATAAATATGCAGGTCGGTAGACATTGCGTTTTGGTACCTGCACAGCTGCCTTGACACACATTGAAGGTCCGACTGGCGACATTACCCTGCTTCTGCTACATCATGCTGCCTCCAAGCTGCTTCTTTTTATTTAATTATAATTGACAAGTTGCTCGTTTCAACAAACCAAACCTTCTGACGACATCCTATCTCAACTCCCTCTCTTTAATAGCATCCACCATCGTCAAGGTTTTGCTCTGGTATTTTATCTCACCAACCCCAGGCAACTGTATTACGCGTCCCGGACCTTGGTGGTGCATCAGCACGCCCAATACGGAAGGACGCCGGTTGACCTCCTCGGTATTGGGCTATCAAATTCGCGTGATCATGTCGCCGGTTCCTGTTAAGCGACCCCTCCCCGCTCTCGTGAAGACAGGCATCGATTCCCTCCCACACCCAACCACAGGCAACGACAGTCCACCCACGGAAGCACGGTCACACGCTAACCCGCATCGCACTTTAGCGTTCCAAGCCCGTCCGGCGAGGTAAGCCCAGCCACTAGCCAGTGCCATCCCTGCCCTTGTGGGTGCGGTGCAAATGGCAGGAATGGGACACTGTCGGTTCGCAGACTTGCCCCGTTCCTTCCCTCAACTCGACGGTTTGGCCCAAAACACCGACAGTTCCCCCGCCAGACGATCCGCCCGTTCCTTCTCTTCCATCTCAACCAGCTCTGGCCAGCAACCACGGACGGTTTTCTTCGCAACAACAAACAACGACCCCATCGTGGGCTACTCCGATATGAACCTAACCAATTCCGCAAACAAGACTGTCAATCCCAGCGAACTTTTCCTGGACACAAACCAACCCGGAACCGCTTGGGACCAGTCACCGTATCACTCCGACCTGCTTCTCTCGGGACTTGGCTTCGACACCAGCAACTTTGCCATCGGGCAGCATGCGAACAGCGCCTTCAACGCCCTCGAGAATACTAAGAGATTGACGGCAAACTTCCCAACCCAACCATCACTTGTCACGCAATCGCAGGTCTTGGAAGCGCAGCCAACGGGAAACGGGCCCACCTACCTAGACTCCATCCAACATTCCGGTCCCAACTTCGACTGGGCAGGGGACAATTCCATCAACTCCATCAACTTCTCCATCCCCACTCCATTCAACCCCCCTCAGCAACCCGTTTCCGGCTGGAATACACCTGCGACGACCCCTCTTGCGCCCCGTCAGACTCAGCATCGCTCTGGCCCCGGTCGCAGCTACGGTCTCACCAACGGACAATCAAACCACCAAAGCGAGAAGGAGAAGTACTTCGCCATCACACATCGACAGACTGATCAATATCATCATCGAGTCGACAAGCGCAACAAAGTCCAGCGATTACTCATCAACATGAAGTCAATGCCGGTCATTGAGGAGAGGCCGTGCGAGTTCCCCAAGCTCAGCAAACGGGGAAAGCACAGGGATGAGGACGACCTTGACGACGACGAGCGGGTGCTCAAGGGCGAGGAGGCTAAGGGTATGACTTCAGCGCAAAGACGTCAACTTCGCAACAAAGTATCGGCTCGCAATTTCCGTGCCCGTAAGAAGGGTAGGCTTTTTCCCTTTCTAATTTCCGTTTGCGATGAACATGCTCACTGACCGATTCCAGACTACATCAACGACTTGGAGGAAAAGTGTAAAGAGCAACACCGCACGATTCTCCAGCTGGAGGCCAACTTGCGCGCCCAGATCACAGACAGTGACCGCTGTAAGGCCCTCATTGTTGAACTCCTTGGATTGCCACAAATGGCGGACTTGCTCGGCCACTACGAGAAGAAGATCAGCGCCATGGCCCAGACGATTGCGCCTGCCCAGTCTCAGCTCAACATGGACAGTAGTATATCGGACTCGATCGGAATGGCCTCTTCACAATCGCAGCCTAATAGCATGTTCACAACATCAACTTGGGCGCAGCAGCTACAGAATGACTCGGCCGAACTCGATGATTTCAGTGAAGAGATAGGCATAGATCCAGCCGGTCTCAATTTTCCACGTTAGTGCCTAGGTACGCGAGGTACTCGTTTCTGATGTGCTAGAAACGCCTACCTGACCCAACAAACACGGGGTCAGGACTGGCCGTTTCTAACCTTCTAGCCTTGACGAGTAGGGCGGGTTTAACGAAGTTTCCTGTTCGAATTTTGGCGTTTGCTTTTTCGGGAAGCTACTATTTCGCTTCTATCCGTACATGGACGGGTATTCCGGTGTTATTTTACTTTATTTCGATGTGTGATTTGGGGATAGGAATATGGCCACAAGCCAGGCTGTCGAATTACTTACGATGGGAGGATACATCGCACATTTTTCAGGGAAAGTGCGACAGCGGTAGATATGATATGATTGGGAGCCTATGTGATGGATATATGGCCATATTTGAAGTTAACAAAAATCATTGAGAGAAAGAACAACCACACTCTTCTATTCAAAACTGTGCACTACCCATTTTCTGTAAGCCTGTTCTTGTGAATGGTCATGTTTGATCGTGTTATCCATGAAGTCTTCGCGAGGCGCCGAGATGCGGTCAACTTGAAAAATTTCGCAAGTGCTCACAACCACTATGTCACCTATCCGTGCCAGCGAAAGTCGCAAACGGAATGTATTCTCGTCAAACGGTTGTTTCGGAAACAGGAAGCTCGTACCTAGCGAGGGGGCGGCAAGGCTGCCGGGCGGGTCTCGTGCACTTACACGAGGCTGAATCGGAGTGTCGGGCGGTCGGGGGCCCGACTCGAGCCTTGTGTGACGGAAGGTGTTGAAAGCGCTATACTTACAGAAGGGTTTGGTGATTGTCCGCTGTAAGCCTGCTGAAACTGCCTCAGTTCGGCTTGTAATTGCTGCTCAATCATACACGATGCTGGATCGTGCCATTATCAGCCACCAGTAGCTCGATGCCGCGAAAAAAGAATCGTTGGAATAATTTGTCCTTTGGCCTTGGCTTTTCAGTTTGCTACGAAGATTGTGAGTTTGAGAACAACTTCAAATTGTTGAGTGTCTAAGGTGTGTTCTGATGCTTCCAAGATTGCCAGGTGCGTGTGCCACACGGGCCACTTCCAGCGGTTGCCTTGTGATGCATTTCGCGCTTTGGTTGGGTCTTGTTCTTTTCTCATTCCTCCGGTCCTCTTCCTCTTCCTTCAGACAACAAATTTTCGTTGACACGTACATGGAGTCTCTGGTGAAGCTCACAATGCAATAGGGTCTTCAGCCTTGGCTGATGACGATGCAATCATGACGCGCATGTCTGCTCGAGATTGAGTGTGATGACTGGGTCTGGGGTCGTCCGAACTTGTTTATCGGAATCGAGGTGCTTGTAACAGTGACTGATCGAGTCGGCGATGCCTGGGAGCCAGCGCCTACATGGGTCGGCCGTTTGACTGCTGGATGTCGGTTAAGTACCCTGGATCTCTCCGGTGAGTAATCCTTTCGGCCTCGATGTTATCGCGCTGTAGCTATCCATAGGCATTCGCCCTTGCTCACCATGCTAACTGTGGTAGAGTCTTGCAACGAGAAGGCAATCTGGGCATTGGAATCTAAGAGGCCTGTTGCATGTGTTGATTATGGATGGACATCGAGGCATGGATTACCGCATGGCCATCTTGGTGATAGGCGTCACAGCTACTTGTACACGAACATGGCCGTAGAGATATAAGAACTGACTTACCCACTGGCTATTGTCTCCGTCATTGACAACCAACTCATTGCATGATCTAGCTATTTGTGATTAGAAGAAAGTCCTTGGACACACCTTTTGGTGGATGTTCTTGTATAAGTACATGACTTATTATGCGGACCAGGCTGGAGGGCGAGTTAACGCGTAAAACGGTATATTGGACGCCCATCACGCTCGATGTGCCCGGTCCCGCCCAGGACAAATTTGATGACACCCGAGCCTAAGTTCTAAGGCTAGGAAGCCAATAACAACTGATAGAATTAATTGCCTGAAATACATCAGGACTGTATAACTTGACAATATGCCTTACTGCCCTCCGGACACCGATTTCGGTAAAATCGCTGATTTTTGTGGTGTTCTGGCTGGGTTTGGTGTTTTGAGTGGTGGACTCGGGTGTCATCAATCTTGTCCTGGGCGAGCTGGTGTATCTTTAGCACCGCCCAGGTGCTTCAGGTCCAAATCCTGCACCCTGAGATGGTGTATCAACCTGGTTTCAGCTCGTATAAACCGGCGAGCTCTAGCCTGAAGTGATAGCATACAAGCCCAAGTCCGGCAAGGCTCGTAAGTCCGTGGATCGTGATGTGTGGCGGGAATTCTGGAATCTTTGGCCTCGAATCCCCAAGGCTTGCTAGCAAGATTGCGCAAATCGCACTTATGGTACTCCGGGCGATTGTTTCACTGTTATTCTCCCCGCCCATTGTTTCATACCGCACAAGTCAGAACCGGGGCTTTTCTGTTCGTGGCAGTATGCCGGAGGCTCTCATCCGTCCCAAGTCAAATCTCCATAGGATGTGCTTGGTGACTCGCGTACCGGCTTGTAACAGTAGCTCGACATGCATCGGTGGGAGCCGAGCCTCCAAGTCTTGTTTGTGACTTAGCCTCGGGGGGACTAAAACAATGAGACGGAGTAAATCCAAACCAAAAGTCCCAAGAAGACGCCGGCCAAAGTGAAGATCCACAGAGCCTGGTTGGATTTTATTTCCAATAACCTGTACATCATGAAACACATCATGCCGCCGAGAATAAGGCCCCAAACACCGAATGTGAAGACGAGGCCGTATAATAGCTCGGACCAAGGTATGTTTCGTTTGAATTTCCATGATAGGGGCGGTGGGCCCAAGTGTAGAACAACTAGAGGGTGGTAGTGAGGTTGGTAAATGCTCATAAAAAGCGGATTTTGCAGGTGAACCGGGTATAGAGGACTTATATTTCCATGCATTGAAGAACTGGCCGAACACCGGTAACCACGCCGTGACGGTAACAATTTGTCCAAATCCCCATTCGTTTTCGATATAAACCTCTCCAGCGACCCGGCCGACTGTTGCTTGGATGTTGACGAATGCTATCACATCCACTCACATCGAGATAAGGATAAAACCCTGGATAAAGGGCTCCGCAGTCCTCATTAGCTTGCCCAGTTTCGGTAGAGGAGTATATCTTTCGGCCAGTCGGATACTTAGTCGCCTGCGAATCGTTGATTTTGTGAAGATATGATCAACAATCTTGCTGAAAGACACGCCGACCCAGCTTAAAAGAATAGCAAAGGGTGACGCTCCTCCAAAATATACACTCCAAGCGCTGTCATTCAACAACAAACACGCATTTTCGTAAATTGAACCTTCATCTGGATGATCGAGGGAGCCCGAACTCAGACCGCTGCTGTACAACACACGAGCGTAAAAAAGCAACGCCCATAAATTAACAGTTTTGGCCGGTCTGGGGTGGTTCTGTTGACATCGAAGAAAAAGACAAAGGACCACGGTAACGGAAAAGTGCGCTGCAAGCCGCCAGAGCAAGTTCTCGTAATTACTACCGAGACCAGAGTTAGCGTAGATGCTGGCAGCGACACAAGCAGCAGCGGCAAAATAGAATGACGATATCCAGAACGCGTTGAGACACACGTCTAAGGGAATCCACGTAGGCTGGTGTTGCACGATAGTTGAGTGTACCACCATTCCGGTAACTTTCAAATATTTTTCCTCCAGCTAAGAAATATAGAGGCCAGGAGGAATATAGTCGTGAGGGTCGCTTGAAGGACGTATGTCACGTATACCTGTGTTTGCACTTCTTAGCAACGGTACCGCCTCACGAAGGGTCAACCAACCTTCAAAACCTCTGTGCTGATTGCGCAAGAGTAAAACTCACACCAATACCGGCCAAGTCCGGGTTTCCCTCCCACTCCAAGTTCCTGCAAAAGTCTGGCTGGCAGGCATTGCTCATTCCCGCCACGAAGTCCTTGAGAGAGTCGGCAGCAGTAGCGTCGGTGAAGCCGTACCAGTCGACGAGGTTTCCATCCGTAATATTGGCGATGGTGGTGTTACTGCAGAAAGTAACGAGCTCTCGAAGAGAGAGCAACGGAAAGCTGTCTTCATCGTCCCAAAACTGTAAAATATGTGCCGCAAACGCTCCAGCTGCCGTACAATTCTTTTCGACATCGAAAGTCGAAAGTATGAGGTTGGCCAAGGGGTTGCTTTGATCCATGATGAGCGAGGGCGCTTGTAAAGAGAGCTTGATATAGCGAAAGATAGGATGAGTTTGAGTGAGGCTATGGCATAAGGCGTTGGGAGTTGCACAAAACATATACCGATTCCAGATAGAACGTTAAACACAAGAGGAAGATTCCCTCTGTTCCTGAAAACCGTTGTGGAAGGTAATCGTCCTGGTGACCTGATCGATGATTGGTTGGAATCATCGAGAGCTGGAGGCCTTGTAACGTTGGGTTGCGCCTATTTGCATTATAAGCGCCTTCCGCTCTGTAGGAGCTGCAAATACACCTACATAATGCACAGTGTCCATCCTCCATCGGATGAACCGCCCTATTGCAAGGAGTCGCTGGGTCTGATGAACATGTGTACTTGTCGCGATTCGAGACATCCTTCCCCTTGCCGTAGGCATGCGTGATACAAACAGTCGCAATCGTTGTCGGGAATGGCATCGATGTCCAGTGAACGAGGAGCTTGTGGGACAAGGCAACTGGTCGCCTTAGGAGCTTTGTCGGAGCAATGTAGAACGAGCTGCGTGAGCCCATAAAGTGGCCCTAGTCAGCGAAGATTGACCCGAAATGGCTGCCCGATCAACCTATCGTCGTCGACAGAGTCCCGACTTCTTCGATTATCAAGTGTAGGGCTGCGCATAGCCGCGAACGTTCGCGCTACTTCAGCTGATCAACTGGTGAAATATACCGATCGAGAGAGAACTGTGTATCCTATTTTTGAAGACTAGCTGTGATATGTGATGTTCTTAAGGCTTGGGCTGGGTCTGCGGGGTTTCTTTGTTTCGCAAGTTGAGTCCAGGCGTGACCAGGACTTTTTGTTCGTCTGGGATTTGTTGGTCTAGGTTTTGTTCCTCTAGGGGCGACACTGGGATTCGCGGGGTGTCGGTGCATGTGCTGAGCGGTGTCATAGCCTCCTCCGAAATTTCCCTTTCCTTGTTGTAGTCTGTTGGTAGCTCGAATCTGATTTCTGTATCCATTTCCACTGGTGCCACTTTCGAATCGAGTTCCGTTGGTAGTATCTTATCGGTATGTAACTCGGCCGAGCTTATTTCACTGTCTAGTTCCGTTCCGCTTCCCGTCCCGGTGGTGCCGGGCAATTCTGGTGTGCTGCCAGAGCTGGACCGCTGATGCTTTGCTCTCTTGGATCTCTTTCTCTTGACAAGCACAAAAGAAGCGACCAGTGTTCCAACAACGATTGCGATCGCAACAGCCATGACGGCCCAGACCCAGCCAGCAACACTCTTTGAGCCGGAGACGCTAGCTCCTGTTGGTGAAAGAGAGGTTGTTGTTATGGTACCGAGGCCTTTTGATACAGCTGCTACTCCATTGCTGTCTGTTGAGGTGACTAGCTGCACGTTTGTCGGTATAGACGTTATCATTTTTCTCTCCCCTGTTACGCGAGCGGGTCTATTGCCGCTGGACCAGCCAGTCCAGTCGGCACGTGTGACTGTCGCGATCATGAGCTCAGTGACTGTAGTGGTTTGACCAGTAAGTAAAGTATAGGTGTTGGTTTCTGTGGCCATGGAGGTAATCAACCAAGACGTCTCGATGGACGAGGTGCCGGTGGCGCTAGTTGTTGGGATGCCAGGAATAGGCAGCATGTATGGTGCCGTTGTGAACACCGGTGCTACCTCGGTGCCCGTTAGTTTTTCTGTGCCAGTAACTTCTCCTGTGCCTGTTGGTAGCGGTATAATGCTGACGATGGCCTGCACCGTTGTTGTGACGGGCAGATCAAGGGACAACGTAACAGTTGTCCCCACGCCGATACATTGTTGAACTATGTCTCCGAAAGAGGGTTCAATGTATTGTCGATAAGCATTACCATATTCCCAAGCATTGCTGGACTCGGTCTGGATACAGCTATTGCACAAGTTGAACTTGGATATGAAAGGGCCGTCAGCCGCGCATAACTCTCCACGAGGTAGGAGAGATTTAGATTCCAGAAAGGCAGCATCTGTGACGGTCTGAGTTAGTGACTGCGATGATATGAGAAGGAAATAAGATATTTGACAGCTTACCACATCGCTCATAGCAAACCCGGGGTACTCCTAAAGCGGCCCCATCTCTGGGCGTCAGGAAGTGGAAGTCCCACATCTTCCGGATCCAAAGGGGGCTGTTGACAGGGCGGAAAAGACAGGATGCAGTAAAACGGGCACAAGAGATGCTTGGGGACACAAGGAATGGACTGGCGCGCCCATTTAAGGAATCTCAGAGGGGGGTTTCAGGGGGTACTGTTTCCCAGGGGAGGTGAGGGTGCCATTGTGAAGAACAAGAAGAAGAAGAAGAAGAAGGGCATGTACGGTTCTTGAATTTAAATCCGTGAACAGGGATCGGGTAGGGAGCCAAGCGAGCTAAGCCCATGCTAACATTGACTTCTTTGGCCACCATCCTGATTCGGGTTGCCGGTGCTGCCAAGGGCGAAGATCTCGTGAGCATGTGCTTTCCGGCGCATAGCTAACTAAACACGACGGCAATGGGCGTGTACACTAATAAATTCGTCGCTGGGACTAGAACAAGTCGAAAGTTCCCGAGATAATTCATGTCTCGAATGCGAATAGGTACAGTAGGAGTGAGTGAAAGTTCGAGCTGGGATCGGGGAAAAGGAAACACAATGAATTGGAGGCCAAGAGATTCCTAGCCGTCGTATTTCGTAGCAGACAGCTCTTGTGACAGCTTGAACCCTGGGTCTGGTCATGTCAGGATGTGGAGTTGTGAGAATGGTGATGGGTGATTGGTTCAGTCGGATGTTGAAGGAAATTGAAAGGACATCCATATCAATGGCCGTGGGGGAAGCTTCAGCCACAGTTTGTCGGGTCAACCTACGCCACAAGTGACCACAGATGGGACTGAAGGCGCGGGTAGAAGTTCGGGTGCTGCCGCAGTGGCATCCCATCTCACAAGCTGTGGCGGCAGGCATCCACTAATTGACGGGGATTACCCACTGAAACACATGCACTAACACGCGCAGCTGGAGGCTAACCACGTCATCAGCGCATCTCGTGAGACAGTCGCACACAGTGACACAACGACAAGGCAGAGACTCAACTTCTCAAGTGGAAGACAAGACCTCCACCTCGCGTCTCGCTCCCACGTGTAATTAGACTTTTTGGGCGTGTACTCCTCGCTCCCATATCCATGGAAATCTAAACTTGCTTTTTTTTCCCCTCCATTATGTCTCGGATCGCGTACTACCTCTCCCGGAGTCAGAGCCAGAGTCAGAGCCCGAGCTTCGACGTCCAACTGGCCTGAAAGTCACGGTCCCTGCAGGTCATGGGCTTGCTCACCACCTCTTCTTCTCTCGCTCTTCAGACTTGTCCTCTTTCTCAATAACCTCAACCCATATCGACTCATACTTATACGCCACTGGTTAGAACAGGCAATCCGTCCGTCTGCCCTGGGTACAAACGCGTTCGTGGCATTCTTCCCCCTTGTTCAACATTGCCCAGCCTTGTGGGCCATCTCTCGGTATAAGTGGCTGACGTCAGGCACCTGCATAGCAACTCTATATCGTCGATCCCTTGTCGCGTCAACTTCGAGTCTATTTCACCGCCTTCTTCAAAGGTCGATCAAACCATGTCCAACACCGCTGAGACCCATCACATTTTCGGCCCATCCTGCCGATTAGCGCCCATCACCGAACCCGAACCCGCCGACGGGCTCGAGGGCATCCCGCCCATCAATGCCCAGTTCTTCTACACTTCCGCCATTCCCATCGATGACCCCTTGTCTGCCACCACAACTGTTGGCTCCGCTGATACGAAAGCGGCAAACCTGCCACTACGACCCTTCTCCCCCGGCGATAACAGGGCGTTAGAGAGGGCATGGCTGGGCTTCTCCTCGGACAGGGACAGGAGGAATCACAGACACGCTCAAAGAAACCGGAGTCCGAGCCCGTCTCTCTCCAAGGAAAATGCCGAGAAACTTGCCGCTATCGTGGCCCTGCTGGCTGCCAAACACAAGGAAAAGCATGACCGGGAGGGCCACTCCGCTTTCTCAGCCCTGGCTACCACCGAGAACGAGGACAGCCACAGCGCCCCAGTATGTTGCGCCGAGCTTTCCATCGATGCTTCCGCAGAGTTAAGAAAAGAGTTTTGCGCCGTCACCAGACGTCGCCAGCCATCCCTTGACCACGACCGTGTTATTCAGGAGGTCATGGCCCAGTTAACTCGCTTATGGGCAAACTCGGACACTCCGCAAGAGTCCTCGACATTCAGGCCCTCAAGTCTCCCGCTTGGCACTAGCCCTCTCCAGAGACTTTCGGGCTCCCTAGAGGTAAAGTCTTCCTCTTTCAACGACAACCAACTTCCTCTTTCCGCAGTTGGGAGGATGATCCCAAGACCTCCGGTCATGGACGACGGAATTTCAGGCAAGCCGTTCGTTCGCGTCGAGTCACTCAGCCGGTCAGTCGGAGCTACACCAGAAGATAAGCCGTCCAGGGCATCATCTGTACGCGGCCTTCCATCACGGTTAGGAGGAAATGACACCCGAGCGGCCAAACGTATCGTCAAAGAGGCCATCCGCCAGGCGGAAGATTCGGTAGAGGTGCCTGTTGGTATCTCAAGGCTGCACATGGTTTCGCTACCAGTTCTTCAAATGAAGCCAATATACTGGTCGCCTGTCAACGACATCTCCACAGTGCAACGTGCCACGTGGTTCTACAGGTAGGCATTGGCGCCTGTTTTGTCTTTCTTAATCGACAGCTGACATTCATTCGCAGAGACACTATTACTCCTGTCGAACCTGTCGTCGCCAATCAACTAGAAGCTGGCTACCGAGAGTTGCGAGTTTGGGGTCAAACCTGGAAGGACGAACTGAAGTCGGCATTGGATGTTGGTGCGTTAGGCGAAGAAAAGATTTCGCACCCCTTATGGCCAGAAATTCCGGACAAGCGACCCAAGGTCAAGGACGAGATCCCTCCCGAGCCACCCATATCGAGCGATCCGTTTTGCGCCGCAAGATGTTTCCGTGGAGAAGCCGCGGCTGAAGGGACACTCAAACCTGTGCACCCCGATCAAGAATTGGCGCCACCACCACCAGAACCGTATGCCAACTTCCATGTCATCTACAAGGACAATTCCGCCGCGTTTCTTCTGAGGCCCAGCTTGAAACCAAGTGCATATCATGGGAGACGACCGCTTCAAAAGATCATGAAAAATATTACCGTGGGAATTCCCGTGGTACGCGGTTTTGACCAAGCCATCTGGGACAAGGTACACCAGAAGAAAGGCACATCGGCAAATAGAGCGCCGAAACGCAAAACGCAATGGCAGACAACTGTTTCGGGAGATGGCTGCCCAGCATGTCAAATGGAGCAGGACCGCGGCCAAGTGACCGATCTTCTTTTGATTGCGCATGGCATCGGTCAAAAGTTTGCCGAGCGGGTTGAAAGTTTCCACTTTACGCATGCTGTCAATGCCTTCCGAAGAGCCGTTAACATCGAGTTGGAGAATCCCATGATAAAGCCTGTGCTTCGGCCTGACCAGAATGGTATCATGGTGCTGCCTGTGAACTGGCGTCATCTCCTCAGCTTTGAGGACGGCGGTCCCAGCAAGGAAGAAGACTCGTCCGCATATACCCCTGACGGTTTCGGGCTGAAGGACATTGAACCCAACACCATCCCTGCCGTGCGCAGTATGATCTCAGATGTCATGTTTGACATTCCCTTTTACATGTCTCATCACAAGCCAAAGATGATTGCCGCCCTTGTAGGCGAAGCAAATCGTGTGTATCGGTTATGGTGCAAGAACAACCCTGGCTTCGCTGATAAGGGTCGCGTTCACCTCATCGGCCACTCGCTCGGCAGCGCCATGGCAGTTGAGATCCTCTCGAAACAACCAACCTGCGTTCCCCGACCGTTGGACCTGTCGAGGACAGAGCCCGAAACCCGACACTTCGAGTTCGACACCACCAACCTCTTCCTCCTCGGCAGCCCCGCCGCGTTCTTTCTCCTCCTAGAAAGAGGAAGTCTCGTCCCCCGCCGCGGCCGCCTCAAGCCCGGCGCGGACGCAGCCGACACACTTAACAAGGATATTGTCGGTGACATCGGCCGCTTCGGCTGTATCGCCGTCGACAACATCTACAACATTCTCGCCAAGGAGGACCCCATCGCATACCTATTGAACGGGACCATCGACCCCGTCTACGCCTCCAGCCTCAAGACCGCTTACGTCCCCACCTTCACCACCTCCTTCTTCAAATCCATGTCCGACTCCCTCCGCGGTTTAGCCGGGCTTTCAACCACATCCGCGCCCACTTCCTCTAATCCGTCCAACCCATCCGACTCTAACCATTCCAACGACCAACCTGGCTCGTCCCAAATGCTCTCAACCTCCAAACCCCCCACCTTCCTCCGCCTCCCCTCGCAGCTCGAACTAGAAGTCCACGATTTCTCGCGCGAAGAAGTCGCCGAAAAGAAAGCCTTTCTGCTAAACGACAACGGCCAAATTGATTACTACCTAAAGTCCGGCGGCGGGCCGCTGGAGATTCAATACCTAAATATGTTAAGCGCGCACACGAGCTACTGGTATAACATGGACTTGATACGGTTCTTGTGTATCGAGATTGGTAGGAGACCGGGACGAGAGAATGGGCTGGGGGTGTTGAGGGCTGAGAAGATTGTTAGGTTGCGGAAGGGGGAGAGGATGGGGTAGTAACTTATGTTTTTGGTTCATTTTAGGGAAGCAGTTTGGGCAGTGAAAGAGTGGGGGTGGGTCTGATGATTGACGAGGTTATGATTGGGCATGAATGATGGCGTTGGGATTGGTATATAAATGGGGTCGGCCTTTTTTTGGGGAATTTCTTTTTGCATTGCGTTGATGTTGCATCATTATTTTGGTTTCCAGGAGGCTAGACTGTCTGGTTATGAAGAGAAAGAGAGAGCCGAGATGAGAGCTCATTAGAGTTGTGTTGTTTTGTTTGGAATCGAGTAATACGTACGGGTTGCAAGGGGGACAGTACAGTAGCCTTTTGGGCTTGATACCCTTGATGTTATCATTTATTAAACCAGCATCATTTCTGACAGTAGTTTATATGCATGCATAGTGGGAAGACAGTAATTATAGCAACTCAGCTCCGTAGTCGCTTTTTTTTTTCTCAATTGCTGTCATTAAACAGTGTCGGTGTTATTCAACCATGTCTGGGACAGCAATGGCTGGAAAGGCTGCAAAGCTGAAATACCTCAAAGGAGAAAGACTTGATAAGCACAAACTCCTTAGAAAACAAACACATACGACCATACCCACTGGAGAACTCGGGATCCCGTCCGCTCTCCCATAGATAAGCCGGTGAGGGCCAGACTAGTAGTTGGGTCGGTGACGACCAGCGAATCCCTGGTGTTGTATGTTCTTTTTTTGAGTTTTCTTTCCCCCTACATTCTTTTATATTCTTATTGTTGGTCTTCTTTGTTTCGTTTCCTTTGTTCTCATTCCGTCAAAATGTTTCTTGGGGTTTTTTTTTCTCAACGGGGGATGCAGTATGCTGTAGCGAGGCGGTTGTAATATGCCCGCTGTGTTTAGTGACACCATTGACCTGAAGAAGCATACCGTCTAATAATTAAGGAAAGCTTCCGTTATCTCTATGGAACGATCATTATGGGAGAGAGAAAAAATTGATCGGGGATGTAGAGACGCGTTGTAGTGCGACGTCACTCCTAGATTTGACATGCATAAATACCGCGAGAGGATGCCAGAAGGCCTGTTTGACGAACCTTGACTGATCACCAACTTGAGTAAATCTATCGCAAGATTTCAAAGTAGTGCGTAGGTTGTCATCTTGATGAGTGTCCCATCAGCATTGTCATCAAGCAAAACGTAAAGGGGGGCAGCATAACATTATGCTTTGAGACACACGGTGACAATAGCCGCACCCCAACTGAACCATCGCACTCAGGAACACAACAGAATTGAATATCACAGACAAAGATATCTATCAGCACGTCTCAGCGGACTTCTAGTAGAATATTCCCGTTTCATTTGTACAAATTCCCTACATTAAACTACAGTACCCGAATGTCCTAAAATCCATGCATGCATGTCCTTATGAGAGCCTGCGTAAATCGACGCCTATAACGCCAACCCTTCTCTTGAGTATCGTTCATAATCGTGTCATCATATCGTAATCCATCCGTGGCGTGTCTTTCACTGGCCATCGCAACAATTTCCTCGGAAAGCCAGTGTAAAAGAGATAACCTTTCATTATCGAGTTGGCTGATTGATCAAATATTATGCCAGTAGTGTGTAGTGTAGTACAAAACGCCGTGAAACCGTGTCTTGACCCGGTGTAAGTAGCAGTATTCCTGACTGTCCATCCGTCCGTTAATCCCCGAACGCCGCGCTTCTGATGAGAGTAATGCAATGGTATCGTAGGTAAAATGCCAAGATAAAGAAAAAAGAAAAGAAAGAGGGCTTCAAAGAAAACCCAGCAGATGGAACTCGAGCGCATTACCGAACCGGTATGCTGCTCGTGCATGATCAGGACTTTCCAGGGTTTGATCTTTCAATCTCACGCCGTGTCCTGATACCGGCAGTCCAAATGACCTCTTCCATCCCCAGCCCTCTTTCATCGCGATGGCGCAAGAATTATAAAAGTGGGATCAACCCAGACGCCGTCGCTTTGGCACTCCTGTTCGAAAGATCAGAGAATGCCCCCAAATTAAAGTCCGGTTTCGACCTCATGTAAATCACTTCAAGCACAATCCGTACCTTCACCATGCAGCCTCTCGGGTCCGTATGGCCTCCTTTGCCTTTCCGGAATCGCCGGGGTGGCCGCGGTCGCGCTCTGCTGTCCGTCCTCATCCTCCGCCGCCTCGTCAATGCCATGGCCGTCCCTGCCCGTGGGCTCATGATCCGCCATGTTCTTGCGCTTCTTGCTCTCGGGTGCCTCCTCGACCTCGACAGACCGCCGGCAGACAGGGCAAGTGTTATGCACCTTGAGCCAAGGGGTCACGCACTCGCCGTGGAAGAAGTGGTTGCAGGGGAGGAGGGTGGCCTTGTCGCCGAGAGCCATGTCGTCGACGCAGATGACGCACTTGGTCTTGTTGTCCTGGCAGCCCTGGAGCATCTGCTCGTCAATGTCCCTCACTCTGAGCTTCTCAATAGCGGCTTGGGAGGCTGGAGGAGCGCCGCCTGGGTTCTGGGCGGCGTGCTGCTCGCGGAGCTGGGTGATGATGCGGTCAAATGCCTCTTGCGAGTAAACGCCGTCGTTAACGAAGTTAAGGTTGCCGAGGACGAGAGGACTGAAGGGGTTGAAGATGGCGGAGAGCAAGGCGTTCATGAGACCAGCTGGTACGGGACCAGAGCCGAAAGAGGGTGTTTGGCCTTGAGTTGCTGGCTGGGGACCTTGCTGGGGCTGTTGCTGCTCGGAGGCCTGTGGCTGTTCGCCATTGGATTGTTGCTGTTGCTGCGCAGCGCCTTCGGGTTGGGTGGTATTGGTCGTAGACGCAGGTGCCGGAGCAGTGTGGGCATGAGGAGGCCGAGGAGTAAAGAAGTGCAATCCAAAGAAGGTGACGGGGGACGGACCGGAAGCGGTAGAGGTGTTAGGAGCAGAGCCATTGTTAGCTGTGCTAGAAGGATTGGATTGCTGGTTATTGGGCTGCTCATTCGACTGTTCGGTAGATTGCGCCTGGCCATTTGGTTGCGAACCAGCTGGTTGCTGTTGAGATTGTGGGGCAACAGGCTCGGAAATGACGGTAGTGAAGAAGGTTACAGGAGGGAAGATGAAGCGGATATCAAAGTGCTGAGTGTTGGTAGGACGAGATCCAGATCGGGGGGCTTCGTTGTTGTTGTTGTTGGACGAATTGCTGCTCTGTTCATGGGTGCCTCGGGCATTGGTCTCATCTGAAGTCTGAGTGGTTCCATTGGTAGTTGGCGTGCCGTTGGATTCGGTCTGTGGTCTCGCATCATGATGCTCGTTGTTCTCGTTGGCACTTAGGGTCTCGGTGTTGGAGTTGGCGGTCTCTGTGGGTTGTTGAGACTCGGTCTCGGTAGCGGCAGAACGGTCAGGCTGGGGCTCCTCCTCTTCAGGCGCGTCCTCTACGGTGACAGGCATAGGCCGGCGGTGGAAATGGCGTGGGTGATTCTCAGGCGAGATCTGGCGATCCTGTGTTAGTGTTGTCGTCCTGGTGTCCATGGAAGTTGTTGGCGGGGTCTGGTTGCTGACAATTTCCGTGGTTTCGCCGTTGCATGCAGGGCACTCGAGGGATTCGCCCTGGCGCTGCCACTCGTGATGGCAGGCGTGGCAGTACATCTGGTCTGGTGATGGAGTTGTGGAAGTAGACTCGTTGTTGTGTGTCGAGTCAGCCATGTTGATGATAAACTGGCTTGGCAACTGGAATATTCAGCTCCCGTATCCCGGAGGATATATCGAGTCAAAGGAGTCAACAGTAGGACTCGGTGATGTGATTGGTTCAAAGGGAGTATAAGTGACAAAAGATTCAGGGACCAGACGGGTTATTTTGTCTGGGGATATTAAAGCGGGATGTGGAATTATGAGGTGTAGGGTGGAGTAGAAGATTAAGATGTTGAGAAAAAAGGGCAAGAATCAGATATCGAAGTCGAGATTGTGGATTTATAAAAAGGCAATACCGCTATTTCACCAGCGAAAGTGGTTTGATAACGAAGTGGAAGCCGCTCTCGTGGCCCTTTCCGTGCGCTGCGTGGTTCGGTTCCAGATTGACGTTGCGTGACGCGATTCGGGGAAAGTGCTGGCACAGGCCCGTCACCGACAAGAATGGCCGACGACAGCACGGTTCCAGGGCCAGTTGTTGCCGTCAGCTCTCTTCTAGAAACTGCGATTGTCGGCCGCCCCTTTCTACGAGGTGCTATGGAGGTTGCTCTTAGCCAATCACGTCGCACCACCAGCCACAAATTGCGGCGTCTATGAATGAAATCTTGTGGCTGGTGCTGAATAATTGGCGCTTTCGGAGCCCCTCGGCAAGCGGTCCAACACGGGACGGCAGGGATCTTCGCAGGGAATTGTCCCAATTCATTAAGCCGCACCTGCAAGTCAGCGGACGTATTTCGTCATAGGACTTTCGGGGCCAATTGGTGGGTGTTGGTTCCCTTTGATTGATGTGGTCATCCCAAAGCATTTCTTTGACAGCAAACATCACGAGGTGCGATGAAGAAGAAAGAACTTCGACCAATGGAGTTAACTGGTGGTGCAGAGCAAAGCGCGTAAGAGTTGTGCCCGCGGCGACTCTTAAGCCCTTCACTTACTTCATTTAAATATCGAAGTCCGGTATAGTGTAACGGTTAACATATCGCGTTTTCACCGCGAAGCTCGGGGTTCGATTCCCCGTACCGGAGTTTCTTTTTTGGCTTTTTGCATTTTGTTTTCTTCCTCTCGCAGGTTTAATTCAATCCGAATGATTCCTTTTTATTGTTTTGCAGAAACGACTTTTGAAACACTCGCGATGAGGGACCAGCACCACACCCTCACCAATGCTGAAGAGGTACCGAGATCGATGCGCGAGATATCAGAAGTGATGCGGGCAGCTTCTCACATTGCGTTATGCCGGACCGGGACGCATCCATTTGCATTTTTGCTCCCGCTGCACACCACAGCTGCGTCTTCCCGCGTACAGTCCAATACTCGCTTGTGGTTAACTCAAGACATCTCGTCAACCTTCCTAGGTGTCTATATATCTAACTGATTAGTTTCATGTCGTCAGAAACCTGCTATCTTGCCCTGCGTATGCCATTTTGGATTTTTTTAATTGCCTTTACAACTCGTACTTGGCTAGTACATTTTGTCCTTGTGACGTTTGGGACGATTTAGGACGATTTGAGACAGTTTGGGATAGATCTTGTCCAGTATGCTAGGAGTATCGAGCTAACAAACAAACCGGCAATAGATTCTATTCAGCTCCACTACGCGTTGGTGCTGATAAGACACTGCGAGGATTACTTGTGTAGGACGAGAATGTCTACTCAATTAATCACAAATTATCGCAGACACCGAGTTCAGGCAAACTGTATTCGATGAAACCTAACTTGCTGGAGGTACCCAGTATCCCATTGCACTTCCCGTCATAAGGGGATTGTTGCTTCTGGTCGCAGCGAGCATGCCCGACTCTTCTACTCACTCTCCTGCCCATGGGCTCATGACATGGAACTCTAGTAGCATTCGTGATAGCTTCTTCCACAACAGTGGTGACAGTCTCGTCCGTCGAGATCGCTAATCAGTATACCTTGCGTTCTGATAACCATCGTCCATCGGCTTCTCTCCTCCCAATGACATTCTACCAATACCGCCCACTCGAAAGCGAAACACACATTTGAATTCTCTACCTCGCCCCGTTAGCCACTGGCGACAAGGAACAACTCTCGGGATCACTTGTTCATGTTAATCTGAAAGATGAGCCGATATACGATGCACTCTCCTATGATCTGAGCACTGAGATAATACGGGAGTGTTATACGCACATTGAGGGTTGTGTTCGAACAGGGTGCCTTTGACAGGCAGAATAGGTAGCCCAGGTACTTATAAGTCTAACAGCGCGATATGCGCTAAAGCCATATGCGTTTATCACTTATTTGTTTATCGATAGCGTTTATGGGTAATTGTGGACCCTATAGGTATATTCTTATCGGGCCGCCTCAGCGCTGATAAGAAATTGATAGCGATATCTTTTTGGCCAAGCTTATCACATAATGACGTCACCGGTTACCTAATCGCTTATTGTGGTTCGTGCACTCGCGCTCTCCTCTTCCTTCCTCTTACAACTCACTTTTGAACATTTCGAGTCTGCGTTTTTTGCTTCACAGCTTCCAAACAACTGTACCACAAACTTGCTTGCGCTTGCGCTTTTTGAACCGAACCATAATCTGACTTCCACTTTCTCGAGTAAACATTTAAAAATGTGCTCAATCACTACCGCGTCTGTCATTGCCATCTTGAAGCGCATCAACACCATCTACTGCGATTGTTGGTCCTTTTGCTTCTGCCAGTCTGTCAAAACCTCTCCGGCCTCTCTTCCTCTTGTTGCTCCTGACCACGATGACAATGATCATGTCAATCGCCATGTCGAGATTCTCGATCCTGCCCATGATCTTGATGATTTCCTCGCTGTCGATGATGCCTCCAAGACGATGCGCGACGTCAAGATCTCTGCTACTGTGCATGACAAGAATGCTTTGCCTACCTCCGCTGCTGCGCTCCAGACTACGCGCGACGTGAAGATCTCCGGCCCTGTCTGTGACGATGATTTTCCTTTTGCCGATGCTGCCTGCAAGGCTACGCGCGACGTCAAGATCTCTGGTCCTGTTCATGACCAAGATGATTTGCCTACTCCGGATACCGTACCCAAGATTAGTCGCGATGTGGTTTCCAATTTGGAGCCTATTGAAGAGAGTCTCTACGAAGTGTACTACGAGCAACGCAAAAATTGGATGGCTTCGGGGTATTAGCAAAACCTTGAGCTACCAGCGATTGATTGGCTCCCGCCTCCACTGCCCATTTTTGAATTCGACGAGCATGACCTTGAAGTGTTTGAAACCGAGGACGAGACTATCGCTACGGCGATTAAGATACAACACATGCACACTTGACCTTTGAGCCACTAACCGCCGAATCGGTCTTCACACAAACCCTTGATCATATGCCTACCGGAGAGACACGCCTTAATCAGGTCCGAGAGCAACGTAACGACTGGCTAGTTTCAAGCATTTAGGAAAATCTTGATCTGCCACCCCAACAGTGGATGCCTCCTCCTCTGCCCGCCTTTGACTTTGGCAAGGCGCAGCTTGAATCCTTTGACGACACAGAGGAAGACACTATCACAATCGCCATATCCATCGCCACGGATGAACACCTAACGTTCATGCCTCAAACCAGTAGTTCCGTGTTTACCCGTGCCCTGGAACCACTGGATACCACAGACTCCTCCTACCTTGACACATACCATGTAGAGTGGCAACATTGGCGGTCTTCGGGGACCTGGCAAACCTAGAGCTAGCCCCCCAACAGTGGCTCCCACCACCACTGGCCCTTTGGAACTTTGACGAGGGACATCTCGAATCATTTGACGAGACAGAAGAAGACGCGATCGCACCGGCAATCCAAATCGCCACAAATGAACACTTGACATTCATGCCGCAGACCACTGGTTCTGTGTTCAGCAACACCCTCGAGCCACTCGACTTGGACGCCACAGACTCCTTTCTTCACACCTAGAGGCACCAAGCAGAGTGAAAGCACCGAGTTGGTCCCAAAGCTCACAACTTGTAAATGGGCGAGGGAGCTGGCGGAGATGGAGGAGCTGCCTCGGGCTGCTGTGTTTGAACGTTCATGGCGGTCAGGGTGGTAGCGGTGAGATGTTGGAGCAGTCAGGATATGAGTAGGGAGAGTTGAGATTGGCGTTGATGCAGCTATGGAATGGAGTAAGGGACAGGGGAGTCTAGAGGGGAATTCGATCGAGCGGATGTTGGTCGAAGGAAAGTCGGTCGTAGGGGATGTCATTCGGAAACAGGTCATTTGGGTGAGAGGTCGTTCGAAGAAGAGGTAGTTCGGAGCAGAAATCGTTCGGGACAGAGGTCGTTCGAGGAGAACTATATCGGAGAATGAGTATATCGGAGAGGATGTACGTCGAGGAGGTGTATGTCGAAGGAGTTCGTCACAGGAAGTCTGTTGAAGAGAACGTTAGCTTGGTGTTTGGAAAGAAATGCAGAGGGGCACGGGAGTGATTTGTTGTTCATCGGAGTTAGGAGCTTGGACAGGTTAAGAATCTGGAAATATTGATGGTGTGTTAGCATCAGAGTTTACTATTCCGGTGACAACAAGTATCTGGCGAAATGAAGAGGTAGGTACCTTGGAGGTGAACTATGTATGAGAACTCGAGTGAAAGCCCATCCGGATCAAGTAGGTACCAGTTCATGGATGAAGTTAAGGCCATCACTAAAAGAGTAAGGTATGCGATATCCCAAAAGCAATAATAGCCCACCTTTCATTCTTCTCATGTTTGGTTTCTAATCGGAAAGAGCGAAATGCAGAAGGTGCGTAGGAGTATTCTTAAACAAGTAAGGCAGTGCACCTTAACGCCACAAGTCGAAGATCGCACCTGCCTAGGTCAACGAATCTAACTTTGATCACCTCCTGTCGACCCCTTTGAATTCTCCATACTAGTATAGTACATCACGGGCGGAATCACTTGCACTTTACACTAACTGTCTCCCCCCTTTCCCACACCTCACGTCGCCTCAGAAACTAGGATACTTCTCGCCCTGATCCCACTACACCAACAAAGCAACAATATTAGCACATATCGAGTCACGTCACGGGTCCTGCTATTAACACCTGAAACAACCAGACTTACATGCTCAACAATACAGCCTCCCTCCATGCGATACCGATCAACAATCTCGCCAAAGTAATTGGTGCGGTAATTCAGCCACCCAAACTCGCCTTTGAACGTCCTTCTCAACGGCGTAATCTGGACCGAGCCCCAGTATGGACCAAGAGCGTCGAGAGCAGCGTTGGGTCCGTTGGCGCTGGCGAATGGGTTGTGGTTCTGTTTTTCGTCAACCAAACGACATTGTCAGCACAGACGAAGCGAAACACCAGTACTGGAGGGAAAGCAGGGCAATAAAGAAGGGCGTACAATGTAAGTCGCATCAATGTATTCAAACGCTTCAGACAAGTTCTTGGTCTCCAGAAAGGCGTGGGCGAATTTCTCGAAGCGTTCGGCGGATTCCTGCTCGGTGGGAGGGGGGTTGAGTTGAGGCTGGCAGGGCGCTGGGGTTACGACTGCTCTTGGTTCGAGGACTCTGCTTGGGATTACATTGTTGGAAGAGGCAGTGGGAGCGGCGAGGGCACCGAGAGGCGCAAGAAGAAGGAACGAGATGGAGGTGATGCCACGCATTTTTACTTCCAACTCAATTATCTGAGTCTCTGTCATGGTGGGTTGAAGTCAGGAGAAAATGATGAAGCAGTGAGGCTCAACTTATAGATCACTGAATGCGATCTATTCCGGCCCCGGGAATGACTTCAATTTGATGTCGGTTACCTCTACCCCTTTTTTCACCCAACCCACGGACGCCATAGTTACCGGTGATATAGCATGGACATGAGCATTGGCGAATCATGTTGGCGAGGAAAATAGCCGAATGGGCGGGACATGTCTTTTTGATGGAAAGGTCGTGTCTCGTTTACGACGTTTTGGGGGAACGTTGTGTTGCTGTGATGAAACCGAGCACCGGTTCGGCTAATCTGGCGAGAATCTGGGGGTGGCGTTGACCCCGTTCGCGATGGACACGATGGATTGTGTTCGAATGCCATGCACTGAGACTCTTCACATGTCTGAACTGCACCCGAAGCCTGGGATGGTCATTTCAACTTGATCAACTCTTCAAGTTTGGACACGCAAGAGCTGAGATTGAAGACAGGAATGGTTTTGCCTTGAGGTGACACAAGATGCAAGGACACTGCAACTGATTGATTTCTCAATTAAGGCATGTCTACTTTCTAGATTGGATCACTGTCAGTCACACAAGGAAGTTGAACCGCCGGTCTCGGCAGTGGTGATGATGCCATATGTAGTAGTAACCGTAGTCGGACAAGAGGCCGTGAGCTGAAGGGGTCACCACTGGGCCTTACAAGTGCGGCCACTGGGGGGGTTTCGGTTGGTGCCGCCCGGAGATGGGATGGGTGAGACAAGGACCCAGACATTTGTCCGGTTATCTCTCCTTTGTGTCTTGGCTTGGTGGTGTTCAACGTTCAAGGTATCCTCATGATTTGGTGGTGTCATGGAGATGAGCTAATACAGGAAGGCTTTGGGGGATGACCCGAACCCTGGAAGTTCCTGAGGTGCGCTCTCACATGGTGGGGTAGCCCTCCCGCGCGCCCTCTCTAGCCTCCAAAATACTACACAGTAGCGCGGGATGGATTGGCGAAGATTGGGGGTGTCGAGGGTGGTGAGGGGGCACAAGCAGCCGCTCTTTCTGAATTAGTTGGATTGAGGCCGGACGCTGACTGCATTCGCTCATGCATTTGGCAAGATGCTTAGTACCGGTGCAGGAAGGTGCAGATGGCGTGTGTATCGCCGCGCAGGCAGGCAGGATACGGTACCACCCTCCTGCCATTCTGCCATCGTGCCATCCATGCCCCGTTCAAATGTTCCCCCCAATGTGGCATTTCTCCGAGTCCAGAATCTGGCACGGAATATGTAAACCCATCACCCGTCAACAGCAGGAGGGATCAGATCGATCTGTCTAATGACAGGTTTGTTGTTTGATAAGCATGTCTTGATACACAGCAGATACCCGTGTCTGGAAACAACGGCCAACAAAAGAGCGCGGCTACAGCGACCAGGGCCCCATTACTAACACGACCACTACGGGGCCGCTAACGGGGGTCGCTGCTGGGTACGTACCCCCTAGGCCCCTCCTAGTCCCACCCAAAGAAGGAAAGCGGCACAGCTAAGACTCCGACCACACGCCGTCGACCGACATCCAAATTTATCACTTATCTTTCCATTTCGCTAACTCTGCCTCTTCCTCCAGAACCTAAAAGATCTCCCATCTTCACATCCTGACAGCAATCTACCATCTTCGCGAATCTTGCAAACATTTTCCCCTTTCTTCGCCGTGACAAGGTCCTGGGAGATAAAAAGGAGGCCCACCATTGCCGTCCCATCGTTGTTCCCACCTTATTCTCCCGTCTACGAGTCCATCGACCTTCGAGAACCCCGATAATACCCCTCGTTTTCCTCGACAACCTTGCTTGCTTACCGTTGCGACTCCCTGATCGGCTCATCGAAAACCACTTGTACCACCCGTCGTACCACCAGCGCCGCGAGACAGACCGAACGTCAAGTCCCAGTCGTGTGTGACTGACTGAACCTGTACGACCGACCGCGCCTCCGCGCTTACCCCGAGACTTGCGAACGTGCGCTCTACATCAGAATCGATTCATACTCGAGGTGCCCCTCACCTGCTACCCTAGCTCCTCCCTGGTCGCGCCAACTACAAATCTCCTCGAGCTTCCTTTAGCGCCGCTTCTACAACAGTTTCCTCAGAAACATCCCGACAAAATCAATCGCACCGCGATGGCCTCCGTTTCCACCACGGGGCCTCATGGCCAGACAAATCCGATTCATAATGACCTAGGAAGGGAAGACCAGACGCTGCTCCTGTTCGCCCACCTGATGGAGGGCGGCAAGGAAGACGAGGAGACGGTCGAAAGTCTGGGCAAGTTGACCAAGCTGCTCAACGACGATGCCGAGGCCACCAAGAAGGGAGAGAAGTCCATTACCACCGTCATAGATAGCGACTGCGTCGATACCATATTGTGTTATCTGGATATGAGACAGTTCGATATTGTTCGCGGTCATGCTGCGCTCTGCACTTCTGCTTATCTCAAGGCCGCCGGCGACGACGGCAGCAAGAAGCTCTCCGCCTTCTTCCTCGACCGAGTCCAACGAGGCACCTACGACGACTATATTGTGGCGTTTTGCGTGGCAGCTACCATCTTCCCCATCGTCCCCGATCTGACGTCCGAGCTGTTCCTCAGCGAGGGTTTCCTCCCCAGTCTAGGCCCGCTTATGAGGCGCAAGTGGAAGAGCCGCAAAGTCGAGACGGCCTGCCTCGAAATGCTCAACGCTGCCTGCATGCACTCTCACTGCCGTGAAGCTGTCCAGAAGTACTGCATCGACTGGCTAGAGGAGATTGTGGACCAGGATACGGAGCAGGTTATCGAGTCCATGTATACCACCAATCCCGACATCGCCGTCCAGGAGGGCTCCGTTTCCATGAGGAGGCACTCCATCCATGTCCAGAACCTGGCCGCCGTGGTCTTGACCAAGCTCAGGGTGAGCCTCCAACTGCCTCCTTCACCCACCTCCGAGGTTGGGGCTCCCTCTCTCTGATGACCCTGCGGCTGACATCAGCTTCAAGGCAGTTCAACCCGACCAGGCACCCGCAAACTTGTCCGACCCATCCCAGCCCCGGATACAGCCGGCGACAACCAGCGTAGAAGATCTTTCCAAGAAGTTTACCCTGATGCTCATCAAGGACCCCGAACATTCCAGCCAAGCCTCGGTCGAAGGACTCGCCTATGCATCGATCCGCTCCAAGGTTAAGGAGGAACTAGCTGGTGATCCTGAATTCCTCAAATCTCTTGTAAAAACACTCGACTCGGCGCCTCCAAGGTCCCCTCTCATGTACGGCGCTCTCAGCATTTTCGTTAACCTTACACAATATCGTCCAGCCCTTACAGAAGAACAGAAGCGCATAAGTCAGCTCAAGGCCTATGCGGATGCGGCGGGAAAGCTCCAGCCCGACCCATTGAACGACAACGAACATGTTAGCGCACGCTGCAAACGTGTCTTCGAAGCCGGTGTTACCCCCGTTCTCGTGACGATCAGCAAAACCAGCTCCGTAGCATCTCTCACCCTCATCATTTCGATTCTCAACTCGCTCTCCATGACACCCTCTATGCGGGGACCGCTCGCTCAACAAGGCGCCGTCCGTCTGCTGATCGGTGCCCTGGACCAACCCTGCCCGAAAACGACCCGAAGAACATGACAGTCCGACGAACCGCCGCACAAGCTCTCGCCCGCATCCTCATCTCTACGAACCCCATGCTCGTGTTCGGCGGCTCCCGCGCCACCCCCATGAGCACCGCCATCCGACCCCTCGTCCACATCCTTCTTCCCGACCAAACCGCCGATACACGCGATCTCCTCCCGACGTTCGAGTCCCTCATGGCGCTTACCAATCTCGCTGCCGTTGACGACGACACCCGGCGCACAATTGTCCGTGTAGCCTGGAAGGACATCGAGGAGCTTCTTCTGTATAACAACCCTCGCATTACCACTGCAGCCGTCGAGCTTGTTTGCAACATCGTCCAATCCCCCGAAGAGGCCGAGTCTCTCTTTGCCGACACAAGCAAGCCGCAGGCGCAGACCAGGCTGAAGATCCTTGTAGCTCTAGCCGACGCCGAAGACGCCGCTACGCGTAGTGCCGCCGGTGGTGCCTTGGCTGCCTTGACCGGATACGAAAGTGTGGTGAAGGCTATTGCGGAGCGCGAGCGGGGACCGGAGATTATCCTTGGGCTGTGCGAGGACGACAACGAAGATTTGAGGCACCGCGGTGTGTTCGTCCTGTTGAACATGGTGGCATGCGAGGGCCAAACAGGCAAGCTGGCCAGGGAGAAGTTTATGAGCAAGAGGGCGGTGGAGATCATGAGGGAGGTGGTTACTAGGTCGAAGAGAAGGGAGATTGTGGAGTTGGCTGTGCAATGCCTAAAGCTGCTGTTGGGGAAGGAGTGACCTTTCATCTGGAGGTACGGAGATGCCTTGTTCATTGATTTTGTCCTTTTATTTCAATTGTTTGAGTTTGTTGTTGTACAAAAAACAGTGGTGCGGTTTACTTACGGGGTTGGAGCATGGGCGGACAAGGGGCAAACAGGCAACAGGCATCGTTACCATTGTTAACATGGTTAACACCTCATCATTCATATCACATTTTTGGAGTTGGAGTTTCATTTGGTAAGGGTGGCGAACCAGACAACAGGCGGCAGATTGAAGAGTAGCAGACATGGCACTACTGTTGTTATTAGTTACACACCCATTGTACCTAACATGAATATCATGATCATATTGCATTTTGAACAAATTGCGGCTGTGCATTTCCAGATACGCTGTACGCCATGGTGGCGTCTTCCGCTTTCTACCGTTGGCGTCCCTATCGTTTCCGAGCCCTCGTGCATTCTCGCTTCAAATCTGTGGACGCCATAGACATGGAAAGTATTGATACCGTTGAGCAGGTTCTTACCAAAAAGAAAGGAAGGAAAAAAAGAATGTCAAGGAGAGGGAGGAGGTGAAGGGGATAGAAAAAGAAAAAGAAAAGTAAACATACAACACCAGGGATTCGCTGGTCGTCACCGACCCAACTACTAGTCTGGCCCTCACTGGCTTATCTATGGGAGAGCGGACGGGATCCCGAGTTTTCCAGTGGGTATGGTCGTATGTATTTATTCGGCTCTGTTCTGTACCTTATCAAGCCACCTTGCCGGCCTCCTTCTTTAGGTTATCGAGCGAGACGTCGCAAGCACAAACCAAACGCCTCAAACCTGTAGTCAGATGCGTCACACATTCGGAAGCATCGAGAACAGCCTCCCGCCAGCCCGCAAGCCACCAGCAATAGGTAGCTCCAGCACGCCCTGGTATTCCCGTCTTGCCCGCATTCATACATCGTTTTTATGCGTTTTGATTGGCGTTCAAGATATTTCCCGGATCAAAGATTGCACGCTGGACTGCGAATGACGTGTTGCAAACTTACATGTATTCTTAGGCATTTCACAATTTGCAACGGGCTCTCCTGCCTGCCCAAGCGGATTCACACCTTATTCGACTTTCCATGCTCGGTTTTTCCTTCCTACGTCCACTATGGTTGCGAACAACAGTGTAATGCCTTGACTGTCTAATGATATTCTGGAGGCATCGCCACCAGGTGATTGCCATCGCTGTTCTTGCTTCGATGTTTCGCGTGTCGTCTTTCCGTCCGTATTCTTCATCAACTGCCCCTTATGCCTGTTCACTCATATGCAGCACTTGCTTCCGTCTCCTCCATCTCGCCCGCCTCTCCACCCACCTCTGTCGGAACCAACGGGGCGCATGATGTGACAAGGGCAGAGTTTTGGGCTTGGAACA